GTTTTGACTGGTTGTTGTTTCTGTGTATTGACGGAGGTGAGTTATCTCTGTATCTCAGAGGAATTTGCGTATTTCGCTGTGGTCGTAGCATAGTAAGTGGCTGAAAATTTATTTATAAAAAGCGCAGTGGAAAGCTGTGACGCTCATATGCGGCTAAAAAACCTTATTCTGCGCCAAGACGCTAATTGGACCACCCAGGGACGGAGGGGATATCAAGCGAAATAGCGCGAAACGCAGATACCAAAAATACATGCGTGGCTGATGCAAAACGCGTATCAAATCTGTAACAAAACGCTGGTGACACACGTAGCAAAATAAGCGCAAACTGTATTTTTGGGTTCTACATCAAGTTACTTGGCAAAATGGCGATATCAATCAATCAATTGGAACTCCCATGCCATGTGGTGGGTAGTGTCTCGTCCCTCTTTGAGCAGTTATGTAGAAAGCTTGAGAATACTCGCCTAAATGCTGCTTACTGTCCTCACGATCAGGCACAAAATGTCTTGTCGAATCCTCTGAGAAGACCGATGATTGGTACATCCACCCATCCTCGCACTCCCTAGCAGCGGGCCCTCTTGTGTAACTACTCCCGACCAAGATCGTCAGATCTCGAAAAAAAACATGATGGCTGCTGCTCTTCAAAAGTCGGCAGACTCCACCGACGGCACTGCTGCTTCAACGTCACCAGAAAGCTCAGGCACATCGGCATTCCACTTCACATCCTCACACCGCTCTTCCTCCACTAACGAAACTCCATCTCCCCCATTCATCCACGTCGAAGGCGTCCCCAACTTCCGCGATCTAGGCGGCTACCCCTGCAGACCACCCTCGTCTCATTTCCCACCCAACAAATCCTACGTGACGCGCCCGCTTACACTCTTTCGCTCCGCCCAATTGACTGGCATAACACCCAATGGCACCCAGACACTCTCTCAGGACCTCAAGGTCCGCAGACTCTACGACCTCCGCTCGGAGAGGGAGGTCAACAACCAAACCCATAACACCAGGCCGGCAAGTGTAGAGGGTATAGAGCGCATCTTCGTGCCTGTTTTCCGAGAGCAGGATTACAGTCCTCAGGGGTTGGCGAGGAAGTATAAGAATTACACTGATCCGGATGAGGACGAGAGTCACGGTTACAGTGCGGGTTTCGTCAGAGCGTATAGAGACATCTTTGTGAATGCGGGGCCGGCTTATAAAAGGATATTGGAGCATATACGGGACCATGATATACAGGATGACTCAGGGAGCTCACGGCCGGAGCCGCTGTTATTCCATTGTGCAGCAGGTAAAGATAGAACGGGAGTGTTTGCGGCGTTGGTGCTGAGATTATGCGGCGTTCCTGATGAGATTATCGCATGGGAGTACGGCATCACGAAGCGGGGACTGGGGTCGTGGGGAAAAACCATCATAGCACATATGATGAAGGGTGGCGAGGAGGGGAGCGGGGTCCCAGCCATGACAAGGGAAGAAGCAGAGAGAGCGGTTGGCTCGAGAGCGAAGAACATGATTGTCTTCCTGAAAGATGTAGTAGACAAGGAATGGGGAGGAGTGGAGAAGTATATGCAGGACCTTTGTGACCTCACCGCCGAAGATATCGAGACCGTGAGACGGAGGCTGGTCGTTGAAGGAGATAGTCCCTATGGAGACGGGACCGGGTATTGGAAGCCAGCTGATACAACCGAGGGGAATGAGAAGGGTCCTCTCGGCCTCGCCAAAGACGATGGCAGCGGCAGGGAGCGGGAGCAGAGGGTCATGACTGGCTGATGTCGATGAAAAACATAGCCATACCTATAGCCGTTGATAGAACATCAAAACCAGAAGCTGGCCGTGTGTACTCTGACAGGACTCGCATAACCGCTGCTAATGGCACTTGATATCCAAGATATGGGTCGTGCACGTTTCCGGAGCCTCTCGTCTGCTTCGGGAACCCGACTCAAATGTCATCACCCCCCCCCCTTCTCTCTCTCTCCCCTAAGTACCGGGGAAGAGCACTATTCCGCCCACGTCTTCGCCGCACCAGCCTCGCCGCGATAGATCGCATGCCGAAAGCCTCAAGGAAAGCAAACTTTTATCAAAAGAAATCACTGGCCCCTTTATCAGGTCGATAGAGCGAATCTCTCTGTCCCAGTCGTACTGCTATCCAAAAATTCAAATTCAAAATCAAAATCAAAATCAAAAAGATTCAAAAAAAAAAAAAAAGGGTAGTCGCCGATCCCTGCAGATCACGCATGCCCTGGCTTCCAATATCCGCCTACATAAGTGAACTGGAGAAAGCAGACAGACCTTGAGTTTTTCATGAAGATGGTAGATGGTAGGGAGCCAGGCCCTCTTTGTCCTTTCTCGAACTGGGAAAAGGGGGGAAAGGGGAACATCAAGTGTGGTGATGGGTAGAGATCTCGTGTGTGTCGGGTAGCGAAGAACTACTACCTCTTTTCTTGACGGCAAAAAGTATGTCTGTACTCCGTAATCCTGTTCTACTACGTAAATCCTATAAAACTTAGTATGAGCGCTAGAACAGCTAGTTTGGAGTAGTCTCCGACGCTAATATGAGCGTATTTGCACTACTTTTGGGGCACGACTCCATATTCTGTGGAAAACAGGTCAGGAGAGGGTGAGCGGAAAAGTAGTGGGTGGCCTGGCGTCCGTAACCAAGCTAAGCTGAGAAGTTTACTCGCTGCAGAAGGAGTTCCCGAGTTGAGAACGGTAGTAAATTCAAGCGGAGAGTGGAGGGAAGCAGGCGCAGTAGAGAAATATTGCCAACTAGTCATTACGCATGCCGTATTACTTATTAGGACCGGACGGATGTTCAGGCGCGTACAAAAACCAGGAATACCTCCAATCAAGCAACCTAAGCTGTCGAACCCCCAATTCCATCAATCAATCCATCCTGCCTCCTTGGCCTCATTCTTACCCCCATCCTTACCATCCAGCAGCATCGACTTCTCCACATCCACCTGACTCTTAGCGCCATTGCTCATCAAACCGTCACCGTTCCGCTCACCGCTCACCTGCTCGCGGTGATGGCCCCCAATCAAAAATCGATCAATGAGGCCGATGCCCCAATTGCTCGTCACTCTCTTGCCCGCCATGCCGGATCTCCGGTGAGCAGGCCTGACTTCCCCATTTCCCGTAGGGTTTTCCTTGGTAGCGAATTCCCAGTTCGCTGGCGGCACGAATTTGCCAAGGGTCTCTGAAGGAGCTTCCTTGATATTCCATTGGTCGACGTGTGGCACCTTTTTCCATTCGGGATCATTTTTGTATGCCGGCATTTTGAGGAGCTCGTCCATAAGCTCGCGGTAGAGGTTTTTGGACTTGTCGAAGCCCTTTAAGCGCAAGAAGCTTTGCCTTAACAGTTCGACGTGTTGCCTAACTGCTTCCGATTCCATCGTATCCAACGTGCGGTCATCGTCGTCGTCACCTTCCACCACCAAGCGCAGAATATTCTCATGCACACCCTGCGCTTCGCGGTAGTGGCCTTGGCTGGTGTATAGCTGTGAGAGCAGAACCGACATCTCGAGCGTTTTCGGGTCTAAAGAGCCCCAGGCACGACGTAGGTTGTAACAAATATCCTCGCAAAGTCGCGTGGCCTGCGATTGGCGGTTGTTGAGGAAGCGCACTTGCACGAGGCGGCGCCCGACGTCAACGATATCTTCCGAGTTCCATTTCTTTTGCACTTCACGGGAACGCCAAAGGAGGTCCAAGATCCATTCAAGATCGACAAAATTCTGCTGCTCTCCTAGAAGTCCAACAAGGTCATTCAGTTCTCGGAGCTTGAAGCGTACAAAGTCAAGTTTCGAGTCTTTGCAAGCTTGCAGCACTTCGCGGATGATCCCTCGTGAGAGCTCCAACATGTTCTCGCGGAGCCTTGGCTCTATGCCGAGCCATGAGTGCCGAGAGCTTGAAGCCGTACGGCACGTTCTGCAGCTGGTGATACGCGCGCAGGTTGTTGATGAACTCGGTGCCGCATAGTGCAACTTCGTAGGCCTCTTGGACACGGTCTTGCTGAATAAGGAGCGTGACCTTGGCGATGGTGGAGATACAGGCGGCTTCAGTGATGCTCACGTTGCGAGTTTCATGCTTGCCGAACTCCTCAAGTAGACCGATATGGAAGATGAGGATTACCTCGCGGCGCGCTTTGGTTGGCCACTTCTTGAGGAAGAGGTCCAGAGACTGCTGCTCGAGTGTCTTGACCTGTGCTTTGCGTGAATGGGAGACCAAGAAGGCTCTAAGCCGGCCTGTGTGCACCAGAATGGTTTCGATATCTGCCTTGGAATGGATACTGCGGGTGTACGTCTCATACAGAATGTATTCCGTAAGATAATCGGCCATGATCTCGGAGTAACTGACCGAGTTTTGCTGTCGAATCACCAGTTCGAACGTGACCAAGAAGACGAAAGCAACTTTTCCGGCGGACTTATCAAGCTTGACTCTAAGTTTGCCCTGGGTTGGACCCGTTCCGGTGATGATTTGCAAGCGTACCTCTTGGATCACATCCAGCCCTTGCTCAACCAAGCCACAGCTGAGATAAATGTTGGCCAGGATCCTACCCGCCTCGTGCAGCGCTCGTGACTTTCTCTCTCCCTTAACGACCTCAACAGTGGCCTCGAGCAGAATTTGTTCCACCGCCGTACGGGATTCTTGCGACTTCAGCCTCATTTTCAGTAGCACCAGCTCCCGGAGACAAGTCAATGTTTCGGTATGAGACCAGCCGAGCGTGAGTGTCAAGGACTCATACCGCTCGTGAATAACTGTAATTGCACGTTGGATCGTTTCGGAAGAGACTGAAGAGTGGCTGCAGACCGAAGTATACGCTTTTGTCAGCCTTTCTTTGACAGACGTGATTGTAGTCGTGGAGATTACGGTTGAGGTCGTGGTCTTTGTTGACTTCGTTTGCGAAAGCACTGTTGTACATTCCAATATCAGCACTGCCCAATTGAGGCTTTTGGATGACAATCTTATTGCCGCAGATCAATGAACCACAACAGCTTTATCTCACCATGATTACATCGTTCAGTCATGTAACGTTCAAGTTGCTAGAAAATTTCCTGAGATGAACATACCTTCCTCATAGATTGAAATAGCCTCGTGGATATACTTCTCACTCCTCATGCAGAGCTGAGCTAGCTCGATCGAAGCTTTGATAGTAATCGCAACAGCGGCGCCAAATGTTTCGATACAAAGAGTGCGATATTCACTGGTCAGTTCTCGGAGCACAGAGTAGTCACACTGGTCATGTGTTTCTAGCACATAACGGTAGCGGAAGTAGAGTACCTCAACGAAATCGACCGTGAATTTGGCATGCCCGTGACGATGGTCCTTCCAGGTGTCCCACAGGATTTTGCAGACGCCCTTGAGCTTACGCCAATGGCCCGCCTCATAATGATAATTGCATATATGAAACATTGCGGCTAAAGCATCGGCGTGGCAGACGTGCGAGTCCCGATTGAGGGTGGCGATGATCTCTTCATAGTAATCATAAGCCTCACCATGTCCGTGATCAGCGCACAAAGAACCAAGGACATAGAGTGTGCGGATGGTCAAAGTATGATCAGCACCCAAATGTTCGCGATATTCAACAAGAAGCTCTTGGTAGATCTCAATCACCTTGCGCCAGTGACGGTGCTCCTCGTAGAAACCGATCAGGTCCCCAGAACACTTGATCATGCGCTCGTCGGAAATATGGAAAGAGTTTCGACAGGCGCGATACACACGGACGTATATCTCCTCGGCTTCATGAAAATGGTGTGAACGATGATGACACAAAGCCAGGCCAAGTGCGATATCCATTGCTTCGGCACCAAAGTCTTTTGGCAGGGCGATCACTCCTCCGCCAGAGATGAACGACCTCCAGACCAACCGTAGGGACCTAGTCGTGACTTCAATAGCTTGAGCCCACTCTTCGAGCTTCATGTAGTAGGAAATGAGACTCTTGCAAACGATGATGGTCTCAGATGTCACAGTGGAGCGAGAGAGGGTTGACTCGAAGACCTCTTGAATTACGGTCTCTGTGGTCGTTGTGGTCGTCGTAGTCGTTGTAGTAGTCGTTGTGGAGATGATCTCTTCGACAGTCTTGGAAATTTGCATCTCGCATGAGGTGGTATGCTCGTGCTTGCCATGGGCGCTGAACCAACCCCAGCATTTTTTGAAGACGTTTACAGCCACAGATAGAAGACCAACAGTACGCATGAGCTCTCCAATCATCTTGAGTCGTAAGAAGATTGTCTCTGATTCAAAATCATACCCCTCGTACTCAGTCCAGATGCAGATGAGGACGTTGGAAGCTTCCTCGTGTCGACGATGGCGTCGAAGGAACCGAACATACTCCAGCACCACGTCGATCGTGGAGATATGTATCTCCGCCCCGTGATGATGGTGAAACTGATGGCATCGGTCCGTGAGCCGCCTCCAGAGCATGATGTATAGCTCCTCCGCCATGAGTAATTCTTCGCGTGCTTCATAGGATACTGCTAGGTCAATGGTCAACTTGATGCGCTTACTATCCCACACTTCGAGTTCCATGGCGATATCGAAGATGCCTCTTTCGTACTCGACGACGTCCGTCTTGGTGTCGCGCCGCTTCAGCACAACAGTGAGTTGTTCCGAGATGCTGACTTCTTCCTGCAAAGACTGCGTCAATCCACGTCAGACATATTCAGACCGTCTGTTATACGAAAGGTACGACCAGAGCTGCCGAGTTTATGGAACAAGATCATTTACGTACCTCCGAACCCTTGCCAAAGCGCGCAACGGTGATTTCCCGTAGCTCGCGCCATACCTTCTCGGCGTTATGTTCTTCCTTGATATCAACGTATAGTTGCGCCAGCATCTTGTAGTATCGAATGACAAGGTCGTGGGTCCTGCTATACTGGCGACGGTAGACGTCTATGATAAATTTCAGCATTTCTTCCTTACGTGTAACAAGCTCGGTGCGAGTGGTAATGGTCAACGTCTCGGTGATGGCGAGAAATGTCGTAGTGCAAGTGACAGTGACTGGGTGGTGCTTGCGTAGAATTAGTTGTCCAAGACGCGATGCGCGATAGAAGCAGGCTGCAGATTCATTTGACTTGGAGAGATTCCGGTAGATAGTCCCACAGATAATCAAAGTCTGGACCACCGACTCATGCTTTTCGGTGAGGACGTGCTCACGTACGCGAAGAGCAAGCTCGTGAGTCTGAATGGCATCAGAATCGGATGTCTCCAGCCCCCAGCATGCCCATTCTAGGATTGCCAGTTGCGGTGAGGTTGGAAACAATGCTTTGAACTCTGTGGAGATTGGTAGCGGGCCGGCGGCCTGGTACATCGAAGAACGCCGGAAATGTAAAGTCCAATTACGTACAGCATACTCCAATAGAGCATGCTTTCCCCAGAGACTTTCGACTTCCGTTCTATCCTCTATCGCAAATGCTAATTCGGTTGTGTCAGTAAGGTTGGACTTGCAGTAGAGAAGTAGTCTCATGGTGAGGTCACTCTGAGCAGCGTGATAGCCGAGAAGCTTCCTTCCCTCGGCTTGGATCTTGGCCAGATGTGACTGGATTGCCGAGTGTCGGAAGCGCAGAAAGTCATGCTGGATGACTGCCAGAGGCCCCAAGGCAACGTTAATGTCGTACTTCACATCAGACTTCCTTTCTACGGAAAGCTTCTTCTGCAGATCAGTCTGCAGCAGGCATTTGACCTCTGCAATGGCCAGTGGCCGCTCTGCCACAAGCATCCAAGATAAAAGTAAACTTGCCTCAGATCGAGCGAGATCCAACTTATCAACAAGCTTTGCAATCGTTTCGTCGAGCGACTTGGGGGATTGCTTTGCAGCCTCGACAGCTTTCATGAAATTATCGCGTGAAGTCTCCTGCTTCAACGAGACAGCTGTCAGAACAGCCCACAGGAAGTTGCCGTTCGCTGCATGAAGCAGCTTCTCGACAAGGCCTTCCCGAGCGTGGTCGTTCTGGTCGCGAAAGTACTTGATCTCTTTAAGAGCGTGGTCAATGACACAACGAAGATCTTCGTGCGTATAATCGGAATTTATCTTGAACTTTTGGGTGCGCCCTGTGGTTGGTACCACAGCAATCCGGGAGAGGATGATCAGCTGCACGCTGTTGTGTTTCAACGCTAGCGAGCCTAGGTGATTTGCAACTTCCTTTGCGGCCTGCTCTCCGCCTTTGATATTGTCAAGACCATCAACGACGATCATTACATTGCCAGTGGTCTTGAATTGATTTAGGCCAATGTCCAGACATTTCCAGATCGCGCCCTCTAATCCGCTAACATTTGCAGATATGGCAATGGTGTAAGCCTTTTCGATCTCGCGGAGCAAGTGCTGATCGCCTATGGCCTTTTCGAGCAGTTGAAGGACTAATCGCTTGGCTATTGCATATGAAGTTGTTTCCCCATGGATATCTGCTTCGATGTGGCAAGTCAAAACCTCGTGAGTTTTCTTGCCCAGCGGCCTCTGGAGTCTCTCGATGATCCAGCCACAGAGGGTGCTCTTCCCGCTGCCCGCTGGGCCTGAAATAGCCAGGACGTCCTCTTTGCTACGTGAAAAGGCAAGAAGATGGCTTTGGAACCATTCGCATGTGTATTCTTCCTGAGGACTGGGAGCAAAGTCGCGGCTCTGAAAGAACTTTTGCAGATTACGATCAGGAGAGCTGAGCCATTTTCGAAACGTGCGGATCTTCGTTGCGCTTTCCTCGCCCGAACCCCACATCATCTCGACAATGTGAGACTTACGGCGGCTAAAGTCCTTCATGCGATGGCCGAAGAGCCTATTGAAGTCTAAGCTGACCTCCGCAGACGAATTTTTGATTAATGCCATGCGGTAGTGTATGCTGACTTCTCGGACCAGTATGAGCAACTCGTTGAATAGGGAAGCCACCTCCGCATGACCATGGCTGTTCGCATAGAGAACATTGTTGTGGCGTAAGAGTAGTGAAATGGACTGTCCCAGCTGATAGAAGACGCCAAAGGTTACCTCAAGAGCTTGGGCATTGTCTGGACCGAGCTACCCATTGATCAGCAGCGGCCTACATGCCAAGGGCAGGACATTACCGCAAGCAATGCACGACAGGCAGTCCAGATCAGTTTTGCAGCAATATCAGAGTCCAGCACAAAAGACTCTATGGCTTTCGCATAGCCTGATATTTGAAGCGCAAAATACTCAGTCCATTTGAGGACCTTGTCCCAGCGGCTACCTCTATGGGGCATATATGTAAGGCGTTGGCGCTCGACGTAGTCAAGAAAATGCTCTATGGTCATCTCATGAATGCCGGACTCATCCACGTTATCGAACTCTGTGATGAATCTCGAGCATGTGGATAAAACCGTCTCTCCCAAAGTGGTCACTTGACGATCACCAGAGGACATGGTGTTTGTAAGGCGCCCTGAGTCTAATGGAAGGATATGGGTCAGCAAGCGGCAGTGCAACGACTTGCAAGAGGTGACCTACGATGAGTATTTCTGAAGCCGCTTTGACTCTCCCTGAGTTGGCTCGTGCTGTTGCTCAGGCCATCACCGTGCTTCAGCATGTATGACGGGGTGGTCTTCATGGGCGGGTCATAGAGTTCGTAGCTGCCGCTGACCACAGTAGTATTATCTGCCATGGAGTGATTCAACTTGCCTTCCGATGCAGTGGCAGTCATAGGCTCGTTTGGAAGGCGGTCAGATGACTTCCTCGCTGTGAAGAAGTTCAGACCAGGAAGTATGACACAAGTGTGGTGGAGAAGATCACGTACTGAGCGGACTAGCACGAAGATCCAACAGGTTATACCAGACGATGAAGATATTGCAACAGTAGGTGCGTTGCCGTTGATGATGAAGTGGCATGCAGATTGAACATTAATGAATTTGAAAGGAGAAGGGTCAATAAATGGTGCACTACTAGACCCAGGAGCAGGCCTGGACCTCTCCTGACTTTCTTTCAAGCATGAATATGACACGAACTCAATATTCCGTACCGCCTGAAGTGGGACTTGAGCGAGATACCTGTCTCGATGTGGACATTGGGCCGTAGCTGATGAATGTTACGCTGGGGTGTCACGATTGACTCAATAGGGAAATTGATGGTCAAAATCCTGCCGTTTGGGTTGTGCTACTAGTAGGCGTATTTCCATACCCAAGATAGGACGTTATGTCTATCATGCCCTGTCATTCCCAATGAAGCGAGGCTCTGACTCGGGTAAACGGGAGGGACGGGAGCCGCCATGACATGGGCTCTTAATTCTACAGCACTTCTCATTCGACTTGCCCCCCTCTTGTAGCTGGTCGAAGGCTGGCTGAACGACTTATCGTACCCTACCTACTCGAGCACCCCTCTTGTAGCTGGTTGAATACTGGCGAACCACTGATCGTACTCTACTCGAGCTCCCCTCTTGTAGCTGGTCGAAGGCTGGCTGAACGACTGATCGTACTCTACCCACTCGAGCACTCCTCTTGTAGCTGGTCGAAGGCTGGCTGAACGACTGATCGTACCTATTCGAGTAAGTTAGTGCGGAAGTCACATCAAGGAGCTGGGCCTGCGGATCCAAGACAAAACTAGAAACCCTTTTGTTGTGGCTGACTGAGAAGAAGAGGGGGTTGGAGAAGGTGGATCAATATGCTCCACTCTACGTGCAGTATTCGTGTACTTCACCGGAGCTTCTGTGCTCTCTTGTAGATCATCAATAGTCTTGAATTATCATCTTTTAGAAAAAGTGGGCGAACACTAGGTTACATCCAACAGGAAGCAAGCATCGAGAGAGATACCCGACGTATTTTCATTAGGAAGAATGATGATTGACAGCGATAGGAACGCCATTCAGCTGCCGCTTTTCACACCACGCTAAATACTACGCGAGCCCGACTATGCTCGGCGCTACTATTTAGTACTATTCCGGCCCGTACTACGTAACCATATGCATACTAGGTTACTAGTGTGCATGCTCGTAAGAACTGAGAATGAATCCATTGGGTTGAGTGAAATATGGAGATGCCAAATTTTTGTACATCCAAGCTCACCACCTGATCGATCGGTTTCGTCTGCTCTTGGAAGATGCTACAAACAACTCAAAGTCCTCATCCTAAACCCGATTTGACCCTTTCACCATGCATCAGGCCCTAAAGGTAGTTGGTGATTACTGAGAAGCTAGCAAGAGAGACCCTCACGACACAATAGACCGCTTCGGTGCTTACCGTTTGTGAAATGAGGCAGTCTATCATCGGCTGACTTGCCGCCAGCAATTTGGCTTTAACTAGTACAAGTAGCTATACAGAGTACTGCGGGGAGAGGCATAAGTACCCTAGCACGGTGCTAGAAAGCCGTTGTAAAGTTGCAACGTCACATATCAGCCCCTAGCCATAATAGTAGTTAGGATAGAGTGCCCAGGAATTTTCCAATTAAGATTAGTCTGTTGCTTGATTGCCCATTAATGCCGCACAAAATCGACAGGGCTATCTGTACCCATAGTTTTGGGAGCGGCAATTACTAGCGCCGTGCTAGGGATACTTATGCCATGTACTCCGCAAATAGGTGATTTCTCTGTCGACTGGTGTCGTCTTTGGCCATGTCCCATCGACGATCGTACATCAACTTTTCCTAGTTGAGACCGCCTTTGAAGATGACCTAGCGCCAATTACCCAGATCCGTAAAAAGATTAGGATCAATCACAGAGATGCGTCAGGACAAGACCCACCCTGATTACCAAGGCCAAGCGTTGGTAAGGAACCCGTCGTTCGGGCGTTGGAGAGGGTGGGAAGGAGCAATGGAATGTGACGCCGTTTCCAAGTCCAGCGGGGAGAAGAGTTTATGCGAAGTTGAGATCAAGGACATTGGATTGATCAGGATATAGGTTGATAGAGATGAAGAATATTTTGCTACGGGGAATGGCTCTGGACGTGGGAACTTGGGAAATCAAAACAGGATTGGCTTCGACCTTGTTGAGCTACCGGTCGCGATAGTGAGAGATATTCGCTTATCTTAGCGGCTGAAATCGGGAACGTTGAATTGCCTGCAAAGGATGAGAGAACGTAAGAATCGGATCTCGATTTTCCCTTTCGATAACTGCAAGTTGGCCACTAGTCCATAGACTACTGGTAGTAGTCCCAATCAAAATGATAATGTGGCGCTCTTTCTTGGCATGTTTAAGCTTTCACTATGGCGTGATGTTGAAGTGGATGGATTAATTCTATCTAGTTATCTGCAGAAAATCTATCTACAACGGTTACAGGCCGAATTTTTGTACCCCCCCTGCTAAAACGTTAGTATCCGTACAAAACGTACTATGTAGAATTAAGTATAGACGCCCGCTAAGTAGCCTAAATAGGACTAATCTCTAAAATCAAGTTTTTGCATTCTATTAGCACTTACAACTGCTTGACATTTTTTCTGCATCTACTGAAGCTGCAAGCAGCTTCTTAGGATAGTCAGAAGATATAGCATCCTATGAAGCATTTAACAGCTGCCATCTTCGTCATGCGCATGCGCCTATATGGCGATGCGGCATAGACCGCCAAGCAATTAGTCAGATAGTTAGAGTAGATGCCCTTCGGGCGCCCTTAGGGCATGATAGTTAATACACTTCATACACACACTCTGAGATCGTCTTTTGCTCGTCTGTTTCGCGTCGGACCGTGGCCGTCTGACAATCTTATTATCAAGCTCATTGGTATTTATACAGAACTGGTGCAATGCGTACAGAGTAAAATGAGCAGAACTTGCAGGATGAGCAAAACTCGTGCGAAATAGTTATAGGGATGCTGACAAGGTGTGAGTGTTAAAAACGCGTTTGTAAGATATTTTGACCACAGGGGGGGTACAAACATTCGGCCTGTAACCGTAGTAAGAAGAAGTAGGCTAATCTACTTAGCAGGAAGAAACTCACTTTTAAAAAAAGTAAGAGAGCCGCTAAAGTGCGCTTAGAGTTAGCCTAACCGTAAGATTTCATCATTTACAACGTTTTTTGTCAAAAATATGGTCCTACTGTAGTCAAAATATGCTTCTCTGATCATACTAATATGGTCCTCATTTGACAGAATAGTTGCCATTCTCACTAACGGCACTTAGCCCACAGTTTTTATTACCCCTTCTCCTGGTAAGTACTAGGGCGCGCAGGCACGTGACGCCAAGGATTTGGCTGTACGCGTACGGCCAATTCCAATATGGCGGCCTAGTAGTAAGTGTATTTATGCCTTCTCCATAGGAATGCTGACTTACATTCTCCCGGCAATGTAATAGCTTCCCAATCAGCTGAGACACATCTGTTGTTCTCTTCAAGATGGAAGATACAGGCGGAATTGTGACGGAGACACGCGAAACGATGTCAGCTACGCAGCCTCGTGCATATCAGCTCGAGCTTTTCGGAGAAAGCATGAAGCGAAATGTCATTGTTACGGTGAGAATTGAAACGAGGGTTGACCTCGATAGGGCTCTCTAATGGCGTCTCAGATGGATACGGGTAGTGGTAAGACACAAATGTAAGTGAAACCAGAAGCGAGAAGCGGGGGCTCAACATAAAACTGCCCCACGAAAGAGTCGCATCTAGTTATTGATGAAGCTCAAACAGAGCAAAGCTACGAATCGAAGCAGAATTAGAGCGTTGCTCACCTGAGAAGGTAGAATAGTCCTATGCTGGTACATTGTCATTCACTGGCTTACCTTTCGAAGATGGTGTGGTTTCTCGCTCCAACAGTAGTCCTTGCAGAGCAACAGCATAAGTATCTTACCGATCAGCTGCCAGCTTACCAAACTAAATTGATCTGCGGTTCAGACAATGTCGAGCATTGGAGTACTGAAGCGACATGGAATGCAGTCTTGCGAGACATAAGAATCGTGGTCTCAACTTCACGAATCCTGCTTGACGCACTAGTGCATAGCTTCGTCCGCATGGGTAGAATTGCGTTGCTTGTCTTTGACGAAGCGCATCATTGCATGGGAAGTCATGACACGAACAGGATCATGCAAGAATTCTATCATATCGGGTCCCCTACAGGTACCGTGGCTGCACGCCCTTTCATACTGGGTCTGTCAGCAAGTCCGATCACAAACGCCAAACCTGGCGCCCTCGAGAATTTGGAGCACAACCTGGATGCTATCTGTAGAGCACCAACAAGACACCTTGAGGAGCTTCAACGCTTCGTCCACCAGCCACAGATGCGTAGGCTAGTGTACAGGGACGATCCTGTACCACCCTCTGAAGCGCTACAGGAACTGGACTTGCTTGAGATGAACTTTGATATCGAAAAAGACCCATATGTGAAATACCTGCAGAGGGACGAAAGTCCCCAGAGCCAAAGGCAGCTCGAAAAAGTCAGGGAGTCTGGCTCGACGGAGAGTCGCAAACAATTGAAGACACTGCTTCGGCGCACAACGGAGATCCATCAGCAGATTGGGAACTGGGCTTCGGCTTACTTCCTTCAATCTTGTGCCCAGAACGTGCGGAAGAAAGTGGAGCGTTGCTCCAACATGCTCTTATCCTTGGAAATGGAGGAGGAGATCTTTCTCTATCAGCACTTGTCTTCCATTGTGAGGAATGAGGATATTGCGCGTGATTATGTGACTGAAGATTTCGACATATCACCGAAAGCCGTATCGTTGTTAAAATATCTTGAAGCCGAGTTCACGGAACATGTGAGAGGTATCATTTTTGTCAAGGAAAGAAGCACTGCCGCAATCCTCGCACATTTGATTTCCCACCATCCCCTTACCCGGAATTACAACGCAGCCCCTTTTGTTGGATCCTCGAGCTTTGCACGAAAACAGTCTCCGGTGGACCTCTCGGACATCAAGAACCAGAATATAGCCCTTGCAGACTTTCGATTAGGGAAGAACAACCTCCTCGTCTGTACCTCAGTTATGGAGGAGGGTGTGGATATTAGTTCAATGAACTTGGTAATCCGGTTCGACGAGCCAGCGAATTTCAGAGCCTTTATCCAATCAAGAGGTCGTGCTCGCAAGGTAGAGTCAAAGTTTGTTCTGATGTGCAGCGAATATGACCCAGTGGGTAGTTACCAGAAATGGAAAGCCTTGGAAGCAGAGATGAAGGAGAAATACATGGATGACGTGCGCCAAATTGCTCACCGTGTCGAGGACGAAAAGATGGATGAGGAGGCTTATGACGAACATCTCGCGAACGATATCACAGGGTGAGAGTTAGTGTTGATCTTGAACACGTCGGTGGCTAATTCCGTGAAGGGCACGTTTGAGCATTGAAGATGCAAAAGGACATCTCGAACACTTTTGTGCATGTTTACCAACAGTGCCGTATGCCGATCCGCCCCGACCAGAGTACATCCTGCGCTGTTGTCCAGCTGGCCACTTTCAAGCAGATGTTATCCTTCCACACAGTGTAAATATCATGCCACGACGCATTGGCGGAAGATTTGTTTGGGCGACTCAGAAAATGGCTACCAAAGATGCCGCACTCCAAGCGTATACTCGTCTGTATGAGGCCGGGCTCATCAATAACAATCTCCTACCCACTGCTCTTCCGGACCCCGTAGTGCCTATACCAGAAGCCGAACTCGACGAAGAGGATCGTGTGGTTTGTGTAAGAGGTCGCATAAACCCATGGAGTCATTTTCCCGAACGTCGAAATAGCCCTGGTCAACAAGTGCTCACCATCAGCGTCCAATTTTCGGGAGGCGAACAGCTCCCATGTTTGCACCTGCTTGTGCGAGAGGTCTTCGACATCACAATGGCCTTCACACTGTTCTGGAGTAATGAGCAGTCCATCAATGTCGAGATTAGGCCAGAGCGTTTAACTGAAGATGTTTTGCACGACCAGGAATTTCAACGCATCAGTCATTTGAGTACTCGGCGATTGTTTGAATCGATTTACCTGGGGAAGATGCAACGGCAAAGCAAGATGCCTCAAACCTTCCCGTTTCTGGTTGTGCCATACCTGGAAGCTAGGTTGTTGTATCAATGGCTTGATGATTGCACTGGCGATGCGCCTATACAAAATGCCGATGAACTGAGACCAGAAAATGGATTGATTCGATTGAAAAGTTGGCCGAAAGAAGCACATCCCTATATGTATCGGTCATCGATGGTTAAGATCCGAGAGTTTCAATGGATTGATGATTCGACAAGGGTGGCGGATCCAACGACTGAGGAACTCCATTTCGAGGTCAAGAGACTGCCCAAAAGACTTGATTATCTGCGCCCAGCCAACTATAAGGACTTCAACACTGCAGTTGACGTCGTCCCAGCAGCAGAGTGTTATATCGACCGGTTTCCGCCGACGTATGCAATGTCCATGCTTCTTCTTCCCTCAGTATTGCATAGATTCGAACTCAGAGCAGTCGCAGTCGCTCTGAGTCGGAATGTGCTATCATCCATTCGCTTTCAAAACTTTGAGCTTCTGGAAAACGCCATATGCGCGTCAGCAGCGAATGAAAGCATTAATTACCAAAGGCTTGAACTGATCGGAGACACCATTTTGAAGTTCTGGACATCAGCTCAACTTTGTGCCCAATTTCCAGGATGGCATGAGGGCTATCTCTCTCGAGGAAAAGATAGGGTTGTTTCGAATGCTCACCTCTGCCGGGCAGCCAAATCTCAAGGATTAGACGAATATATTCATACTGAACCATTCGCAGGTTCTCGATGGAGGCCGCCGACACAGGAGCTCAAAGTGCACGATGCGGCAATCACGTCGCGGCGAAAGATTTCTAGGAAGGTGCTGGCCGACGTTGTCGAGGCACTGATAGGAGCATCCTTCCTGGATGGCAAGGATGAGCAGGAGCGTGGTTTCAAGGTAAAGGCTTGCCTCACAACCTTCTTGGCCAGTATATCCTGGAGATCGACAAAGGAGAACGCTACGATGCTAAATGATAGTGTTCCCAATGCAGGTGCGGCGTTTGATAACTTTAATTCACTGGAAGAAATCACGGGCTATGCTTTCCAGAAACTCGTTCTACTCGTCGAGGCATTCACGCATCCATCACACCCACCAGTTGGTATACAAGGATCGTACCAGAGATTGGAGTTCCTTGGTGATTCCATCCTCGATTTTATTGTGGTCGACATGGTGGCAAGGCACTCCAAAGAGCTGCCACATTTCACAATGCACCTAATCCGAGCGGCCGTAGTCAACGCTCATTTACTGGCGTTTTTGTGCCTCCGAGCTGGGCTGGATCATGCTCGTACGGAGGTGACAACGGACGCAAGCTCGGGAAGTTTCGAGATAAGAGAAATCAAAAAGAAGACGTACCTGTGGGAGTTCATGAAGCACTCTGGCAATTTGGAGTTACTGGAAGCACAGAAGGCTTGTGCCAAGCGCTACGAACAGTTCAATTGTGCAATCGATACGGCTCTCGACTACGGAAAGAGCCATCCATGGTATTACCTTCTTAGTCTAAATGCTGAGAAGTTCTTCTCCGACCTAATCGAGAGCATTCTGGGAGCGATCTTCATTGATTCTAAGGGCAATTTGCAGCCTTGTCGGGAGTTCCTTGAAAGAATTGGATTGCTAAGATATCTTCGCCGCATCATAGCAGAAGAATTTGACATCATGCACCCAAAGGAGAGACTTGGTATTGTCGCGGGCAATTCAAAAGTTCGGTATGTCACAGTTAGCAAGATTGTCGATGCTGCAGCACATTATTCTTGCACTGTGTTTGTTGATGATGAATCCACGGCAACGTCAACAGGTGAGGTATGCAAAGCAGCTGCAGAGACGAGAGCTGCTCAAGATGCTGTTGCATTAATACTGAAGGCGAGATGCAATTCTACGGGCAAAGGAAAGGATGAAAGAAATGTTTGAATCATGAAACACTATTACATTTAATTATGCAGAATTACGAGGTTTGTCAAGCACGGCGCCAGGAATTGTGGAACGTTAGGGCGTGATCTACCCTTCAAAAGTACAATTCCTTAGTACGTACGCACGGAGTAGGTGGGCAAGAAATGAATGTGCATGACAAAGGCATTGTAAGAAAATTTGGAATCGCTCGGACATAAAGGCGTTAGGCGTGTAATCTAACCGAATACGGACAAGCATCAAATCTCCTACTTGAAGTTGGTGGCTGCTACTTGGAGATAACCGGTTGGAATGTTAGGCATCTTGCAACGCCAAATGATCGAGGCGCAGTCAACATCCCAAGTGATCGTCTTGGAGATCTTCTTATTCGGCTTGTTGGTGTCCGAGGACTTCAAGTTGTGGAGGCGATACCATGGACGGATCATTTGTAAGCCCAATATTTATGGATGGTACCTCCGTAGTAGACGCCGAGCAACTAAATCCTTCATTCAAACGGCCCTAGTGGAAAGGGTTGGGCTCGGACTCGCCAGCTGCAACATTACGGCACAGCTTCATGCTGCATCAGCATCACAAAATGCGCCCGCTTTTCCTCTCTGCATCCACCATCACCCTGCACCTCATCCATATCAGCCACTATCCCACTATCCCACTATCCCACTGTCCCACTGCAGATGAGATGATCTTGATAGTGGCGTAGCCATCAACTATCATGTCGAAACGAACAGTGTACACCAATATCACCCCTCTTCCGCGTCAAGTCACTCGGCAAATCGCCGTCGATGAGCTGCACAATCATGGAGTTATGATCAAGTTAAATCCGCTGGTCATCAACTTCGAACGAACCACACCGCACAACAACGCTCCCGCAGATGAATATCACTGCACTTGGTACGAAATTACAGATAGAGTATCTTATCTGCCGGGTGTAAAGGGTTTAGTCAAATACAAAGCATGTTTCTTCGACAGGCCCATCGGATTACAAACGCATTGCTATGCTCCCGCTGGCCTCGACATCAAAGCAAAATGGTCAGTCGGAGGCAATATGCCAGGAGAGCCTCGAGAAGCTCGCGAATTAGGAGTTGATACTCCGCGTGATGGCTTGTATCTTCGTGAAGAAGTCGATATGCGATGCAATATCATGTTGACGGGGTTTGTCAAGAAGAACCTGAAAAACGCACACAAGATCTTAGTCGATCGGCTGCTCAAGAAGGTTGAATTTGTGGAAGAGGTGCATTATCAGCAGTCTGTGCATTCACCATCAGTAAGGAGCTCAATAACCACACCTCCCATAACACCGGCCACACAACAACCGCAGTATCTACCCCAACGATCGGACGGATCAGTGATCGACGACGCGTATAAGTATGGCGGCAGACCGCCCTCGCTGCCCCTGGGCATGCAGCCACAGCATCAGCCACAATATTCACCAAATAATGATCCCGCCAGATATTCCGGTCCTCCTCCACATTACTGGCAGTCTCCTGATCAGAAAGGAGGGGATTGGAAGATGGCCCCTCCCTCTCAGAGAAGTTCATATTTACAAAACCCATCAAGACCGCAATCCGAAACACTCTTTGCAGCGGAGTTGCCGGGATCGAGTGTGGGGATGCCGGTCGAGCTTTATTCGCCTCCATCTTCGAACCTCGGCGCTAGTCCAAGCATACCTCATGAGAAGGAAATGGAGCAAGGGTATCGGATGGCCGGAACATAGGACCTCAAACTTGCCTCGAGTTCTCTCTGCCGAAAGAGTATGCTCGAAATATAGCACATCAGCAGTGACTAGTTTGTGCATACTGGAGAATCCGGGGCAACCATCAACTTCCAACGTCCTCCTCGAAAGCATGAGACAGCAGCATCCAATCCGGATGAAACTTTCTTCCATCTTGTGTCAGTACCTTAGAGCAAGCCGCTTCATTATTTATATCGTGGTCGGCAACAACCTCAATTCCTTCCAAAAAACACTAACTTACACTATATGCATCAAAGCTTTTTTTTGGCTCCTTGTCCTGGCCATCTGACAAATTCTCATTCAAGGTGCTGACACAATACGCCCGAGCGAATTGCACAACCTCTGGCAATTTGGTCTTACCTGAACAGCGAGAGGGGCCACACTGCTTTGAAAATTTCGGTCGATGACGGGTTACATTTGGATCTTTTTATGATGTGACGCATGGTGAAGTTCTGAGATGGTTGTCGCAAGACCTCGTGATGGGTATTATCATTCATGTATGGTTATGACTTTTCCTTTCGGCTTTACATATTATCCTTGGCAAGAACACGCTTGTATAGCTTCCTGAATATACCGATCTTGATCTTTTGAAGTATGTGCATTTCCCGTTCCTGAAAACGTCCGTCTCCTCTCCATTGGATATACGATAGCAAGTGATGCACGTGCGTCCTTCGGTTAGCTTCATTTACGTGCTTCGAGATACGATTCCATGATGATGGAACATGACTTTGCATAAAGGTTGTCTTGACCTGCCATCTGCTACACATCCATTAGACTCTCGCTAATCTCTTCAAACAAGGGTACCGGGCGATTTAATCGTAAGACAGTTTGGGGGAGGACGCATGAAATTCCAAGAGTTGGGAAGGGTGAAAGATGGAGATGAAACGTGAGCAGTGAGTGGGAAGAGCAGAAGTGGAGAACAGAAGCGGAAGGAAGGAGTGGGCATGGAAATGGAATGATAGAATTGGTTGCTGGAAGGGACCAGTAGACGCAGCGACTTGGTAGGTGTAGAGAGACTGGTAGACGAACGGAAAGATGGAGAATGGTTGATAGATAGAGGCGAGTTAATGAACTCGAAGATGGATAGGTTTAGGGGTGACGGCGGACGGAATATTCATAGATGGAGGTCTGATAGATAACGTAGGACTAGTGGAAGAAGTGAGATAAATATACAGAGATGGCAGTAAATACCAGGAGCGAGAGACTGAAGACCTCCGGACCGTATAGAAGTGTCTGCGCAAAACCTTAACCTCGAATACTGCCCTTCCGGCATCAAAAACAACTCTATATGTTTTATTTCTTGGCACAAACCCCGAACATCAAACGCACCTATGCCCAATAGGCGACACACTCTGCGCTCTCAGAAGGGGCGGAGCGGAGTAGGACGTCAGCCTAGCGGAAAATAAGGCTGTCGGATAGCATTGAGGTTCCGGAACATATGACTAGGACCTAGTTGAAACCCACTCAGGATATTAACAATGACACCAATGTGCATGGCCGTTGCGTGATGAACCGGCGATACGACTGGGAAAGTAGAAGTCGGTATGATCGAAACATCACTGGGGATAGGGCGGAGGTTCTCTTTTTGCTTCCTTTTTTGTCCGATACTTGGGATGGTGGAAGGGCAGAGATTTCGAAGCCAGCTTTGTGTTGTCTCATTTTTGCTTGTCAAGTGGGTTCCTGACCTTGCAGCAGTGGAGCACGCACTTGCAGATTATTTCTTGATTGGCCCTTTGTGCTTCTTGGTTTCAAATTGCTCCTTAGGATACCACTCGGTCTGATATGATTGATATGAGCGGACGGGACGCTGGTGCCGCTAGATTTCTTGATGAAGACCTCTTTTACAACAGCAATTTTCTGTCCTTGCTTTCACTGTTTGCAGTGACTACTAGTTCCCACTGCTTTTTTCCATCTAGGCGCTGAGATCGCTAGGTCTACTTTTTTGATGTATAGGTATCGATCTGGTCCTGCACATTTTCGATGCTGAAAGTCGTGAGCTGGACTTTGGTACTTGCTCAGGATGTCCGTCTTGCAGTCATGGCTCTGATGTGATCCCGTCTCCCTCATCAATCACCGAGAGCGCTACCAAACTCAGCCACATAGAACTAAATTAAAAGGCCGAGAAGTCAGCCTCTTCCCATGAAATTCCAGAAAGCCCCCATGGAACTGTGTCTTACATCCTCGATCTCGCTAGCAATGGTCCTTTTCGTCTCCTTCGGAAGGTCTGCCTTGGGTGGTTCCCAGTTGTTTACATTCCACCACCACCTCCTTACCCTACTGCCCAAGGTCTGCCCACTGAACTTGGCTCCGCGATTCCAGTTCCGCCATCCGAACAAGACAAGGTTCCAAACAATCCCCTGAGTCAGTGGCATCACCACCTGATCTCGGATTGTGATGTAGGCAACTCTACTCCAGGTGTCTGCATTTTTGATGCTGGCGAGATAGGACTGTTCGAAGCGGAGGTCGGGAAGTGGTGGAAGAGTTGAGCGGCGAGGACGTGGAGCGACTTCATCAACTATGTCGGAAGGAATTCGGCCGGAGGAAGTGGTGGCAGATTGGAGGCTAGAGCTTGGGGAATGAACGGTCGCTGTTCCTGGAACTTTTGAAGAGGCAGCTGTGGAAGGGTCCACATCGTGATGCGGAGATGGATGACGTTTGACAGAGGCAAATTGAAGGGTCGAGGCAAGCTCGACAGCAGGGTTAGATGCCATGGCGTTACGGAGATGGTCATACAAGACGAACTGGAAAAGTCTTTAGCAGATCCGTGAAGGACTACTAGTACTCTGTACTTTATGTGTGGTATTGAATGACAGCGTATGGACGTATCAGACCAAGACTTTACATATGTACTACCGAGGAACGTCTTGGGAAAAAAAGAAATGAACCCTGCCCCCTTGGGGCCATCTCACTTGCATCCTACCAATGTAATGCTGCTCTAACAGCCACACCTAGCGGGAGGTTACCTGAGCGTCGGGCGCTTTGCCCCAAGGCTCATCCGTATCATGGATTCAGCCAACTTGATCAGGTTGGGCTGCCCTCAGGCTACTCGTCTTAATCTTGGTTATGTATGGAGGAGCCCGCATCCTCGATGCCCTAGCCGACTTTGCAACCGCCATGCTGCGGCACTACTTGCCCATCGCATTTAGCTGAGAATGTGACAACTGTCAGAATAGTATTTTGAAGACGTAAATCAGTTACTACGAATGTGTTCTTTGGCAACTTGAAACGCTGCAGATAGCCTGTGTTATGACGAGGACATTTTTGTCTTCTAAGTTAGTACCTTCAACCTCTCTCAATAGGTACAGCTAACAAATTCAGCCGCCATCAATCTCATTAGCCTTGTCAGAATACAGCAATACTCCAATTCTTCCTGTTCCTATGCAGCGCCTGCAGGTTTTCATTTGTCGCTCCTCAGCAATATGAAGTACGAAGACTACACCGTGGGATGGATCTGCGCCCTCCCGACAGAGATGGCTGCAGCAAGAGGCATGTTGGATGAGGTTCATGAGATTCTGCCATCGCGCCCACACGACAGCAACAACTATACCTTCGGTCACATTGGAGATCATAATGTGGTTATTGCCTGCCTCCCGTCTGGTGTGATGGGTAAGATATCAGCGGCTGGAGTTGTCACTCAGCTGCTGTCCACTTGCACAGGGATAGAATTTGGGCTCATGGTGGGGATTGGGGGCGGAGTGCCCAGCAAAGAGCATGACATTCGGCTTGGAGACGTGGTGGTCAGTAAACCAATTGGAACATATGGAGGAGTGATCCAGTATGATTTTGGAAAGACGGTAGGAGAAGGAAAATTCATTATAATGGGCTCTCTTAATAAGCCGCCAAAGACGTTGTTGACAGCACTGGCCAGTTTGGAAGCAAAGCATATGGCAGAAGACCACATGGTGGCAAAGCATCTCTCGGAAATGACGAAAAAACATCCTAAATTGACAACTCACTCAACATGTCCAGATGTACGCTATGACTCATTATATACCGCAGAATACGATCATCCAAAGGGGTATGAGACATGTTCACAATGCGACGCTAACAAATTAGTCAGTCGAGGGCCTCGCGCTTGTGAGGGCCCCGTTATTCATTACGGTCTGGTCGCCTCTGGTGACCAAGTGATGCGACATGGAGGCACAAGGGAACGGTTGAGACAAGAGCTTGATGTGCTATGCTTCGAAATGGAGGCGGCGGGATTGATGGACATTCTTCCATGTCTCGTCATTCGAGGAATTTGCGATTATGCAGACTCGCACAAAAACAAACGGTGGCAACCGTATGCGGCTGCAGCAGCGTCAGCATACGCCAAAGAACTTCTCTCCGTTATCCCAGGGAAGCTGGTAATAGACATACAGACAGCGGCTGAGGTGAAAGCTGCAGCTGGTAAGTGAGGGCTTTAATCTCAGAACAGTTGATGGGGTTTATCATCCCATACGCAATGTTCTTTTCATTTCGAGTATCTCGTGTGTGTGTGTGTGCGCGCGCGCGTGCTGTTGAGCCTACCCTCCCGCACCTGCAATTGTCTATCTCTGATCAGTAAGGATGGGCTGACTCTTCGTTAGTTGACTCTAGATTTCAAGAAGTGGAAGTCAATGCTTGCCTTACTGCACTCTTTCTGACTGACCCACGTGACGACCGAGAGACTATTACACAAATAAAAGGATCAAGGGTCGATGGCACATGCGAATGGATCAAGACCAACACTCTTTATGATTCATGGCTTCATTCCCATTCGCAATTGTTACGCTTGTCCGGTGGTCCTGGCAAAGGGAAAACAATGCTCTCGATATTCCTTGCTGAAGAGCTCGAGCGACGCGTGGAGGATTCGGAAAGTTCACTGTTCATTCAGTACTTCTGCGATAACCGAGACGAAAAGCGAAATACCGCCGTTGCCGTTCTCAGAGGATTAATCTGGCAACTTTTGAAACGCCGTCCCCAGTTGGTCATTCATATCCTTCCAAGCTTCAGAGACCAGGACAAAACTCAGCTTATCACGTCATTCACATCTCTCTGGCAAATCTTCGAGCATATGGTTAGTGATCCGGTCATTGGTACTGCATATTGCGTGCTAGATGGTCTCGACGAATGCGATGAAGGGTCACTAGAGGTGCTTCTGAAGAAGTTCAGTAGCCTCTTCTCGACGAAATCCGATCAATCTTCAACCTGTCATCTCAACTTGATCGCTGTCAGCCGTGAGCTTCCAGACTTCATACCAGAGATATTATCAATCTTTCCTTGTATACAACTTGATCCAGACGCAGATTGTGAGATCAACAGGGATATTCATCAATTTATTAAGGTCAAGGTCAATGAACTCTCGAACTATAGACAGTTGCCGGGCCCATTATGTGTACACGTGAAGAAGGTATTCTTGGCCCGCGCGAAAGGCACATTCCTTTGGGTAGGAATTGTAGCTTACGAGCTGAGGAAATACAAAGCGACAGAAATCGAAAGAGCCCTGAACCTGTTTCCATCAGGGTTAGAAGAACTATACGCCCGTATGCTCCTTCAGATTGATGTTGATCGACAACAAGCTGCCGCTAAGATATTACGCTGGGTTGTTATGGCCTTTCGTCCTTTGACTCTTTTGGAACTTAGTGCAGTCATAGAAACCACCGTCACATCCATGGGCTTTAGTCGCGAAGAAGTGATAAGAGATCAGGTGGCATATTGCGGATACTTCCTAACGATCAAGGAAGACAGAGTTAGCCTTATCCATCAATCAGCCAAGGATTATCTTCTTCGCCAGACTCCGGATTGTAACCCTAAATTGGAGTATTTCCGCATAAAGGAAGAGGCCGCAAACTTAGAAATTGCACGAAAATGCTTCGAGTACCTTCAAGGCGGCGCTTTCGCAGGGGTTAAGGTCAACCTGGACCAACGCCACACATTTAAAGATTTCCCCCTACTTCCATATGCTACACTTCATTGGCCTGACCATGCACGACGGTTAGCTAGTTCAGAAGACATTTTCGACTTGACACTCCCCTTTTATGCCAAGAAGTCTAGAATTCGAAAATCTTGGCTGGAGACCTATTGGGCAGCGGCGGTGGGTGGAGATCTACCCACCTCCTTTTCACTTTTGCATTTGGCTTCGTATTTTGGCATAATCCCGCTTGTTGAGAATCTTCTTTCCTGGAGAAAAAGTTGGATGATTCGTATGAAACATTTGACTTTTGTGAATAAAAGGGACAGTGGTGGCAGTACACCACTATATTGGGCAGCTACACAAGGGCATGAGGCAGTGGTGCGGCTACTTCTGAAGCAAGAGGCAGACGTCAATACAAAGGGCAAATTTGGTTGGACTGTACTACATAACGTGGTTATGAATGGAGACAAGACAATGACACGATTATTACTGGAGAACGGAGCCAATGTTAACGCCAAATATACCGGAGGGACAGCACTAGATTTGGCAGCTAAAAATGGAGACAAGACAATGATAGAGCTGCTGCTGGAATATAAGGTGAAGGTCAATCCCCTAAATGGTCATGGTACTCCAGTGCTATTTGTGCCAATTGCAAAAGGACATGAGACAGTAGTGCAACTGTTGTTAAAGTACGGGGCGGAGGTCAACATAAAGGATGGTTTTGGATCCACGGCACTACATACTGCAGCATTTGCAGAAGGTTTCAATGTAGTACCACTGCCACTGGAGTGGCGGGATGTCAGTGTGAAGTGGTCGGCACGATATGACGCAGCCAGAAGAAGATATGAGGCAATAGTCCGATTACTGCTAGAGCATGGTGCAGACGTCCATATAAAGAATAATGCAGGGCTGACAGCGCTACATGAGGCAGGTAATGGAGACAGTCAGGCAGTGGCACAACTGCTGCTAGAGCACAGGGCAGACGTCAACGTGAAGGATAATAAGGGACAAACGGCGCTACATATGGCAGCTCTAGGAAGAAGTTGGTTAGGGGCGAAACTGCTGCTAGAGTACGGGGCAGACGTCAACGTGAAGGATAATAAGGGACAAACGGCTCAGGATTTGGCAGCTGGACTCTGGGATAAGGAAGTGGTACAGCTGTTAGAGGAGGCAGCAGCAGCAGCAAAAGATTGATATTGTCTATCCCCCCTTACCACGAAGTGGGAATTCGGAGAACACAAAACTGGGCTCTCCGAGTTATGAGAGTAGGCCCAGAATCCGGGCCCTATAGGAAGCGCAAGGTAGAGTTCAGTTACTGCTCAGGGTTGCTCGAGATCGGAACAGCCTTGCTCAGTCACAGCTCAGGGCTGCTTATCTATCGCTCAGATTACGGTCATGTGCGTTCAGGTCTCGAAGTGGAAATGGAGTTCAGAGAGGTCAAGATTCGAGTGTGAGTGTTTTAGGAGCCGAGGGACATCTCAGAATCCTCTTCATGCCGACGCAATTCTGGGTATACCTCCAACCCGGAAATCTCGAGTTCTTTTTGACAGCCCTATCTGTCTTACCAATATTTGAGCTACTTAGTATGTAGAAAGTGAAGCTTTAGTATCTCCCTAAACAAGAAAGGCGTGGACCTCGGGAAAAATTCCTGCAGATTCCTTCTTTAGGAACTTAGCGGTCATTAGATTGCGCAGATATCTTCGGAGTCTGTCACTGACCTGAAGATATAACGTTGGTTTACTGACATTTTTGTCACCTGGAATCGCACTTTAATGTCGGGTAGTAGCCATGTTTGTCTTGTCCTGTTTAACAGATGACTACATTTGGTCGTCTCCTGTTTATGTCCTATCAGAAGCGGTGAGAATGCAGACAGAGGCAGACAAAAGCTGCAAGAACTTATAAAAATCTCAACACGACTGAGAAGGAAGACGACAAACTACTGAGATGCCTTGTCATATCACCCTTCTTGTTCAAATTAGCCAATGTTGCCTAGGTGTGTGTGGCCGAAACGGCTTCCGTACTTCGAACCATGACCCAGCATACGGTCCATACCGATATGTGCAAGCCAAGTAGGAGCCAGTCCGGCGACGGCGTTATTGTTTAGCGCCAACGCAGTGCATAGCACAAGTATGGGAGGCGTTTTCGTATGGACTGTATTGTAGAGGACAGCACCGGCTGAAGTACTAGCCAGGTATCCCACCATACCCAGATCTGGGAGAAGGAGGAGGGCGGCAAAAGTCCACCACGACTGTTTGAATTGGGAATAGGCCCAGATCGTTAAGCAGAATACGCAGGCGCCTTCTACCCGCAAGAGGATCCGCGGCCAAGTCCTGACGAAGCCGTTCTGCATTGCCATATCTTGCTGAAATGAGATATAGGTAACACTAGAGCTGTAGGAAGGGCAAAGAGGGCGTAGATGTCGAGAGTTGGGAGGAGTGCCTATGAGGAGATCTGTAGCTGTTTTGGTAGGTGTTGACAGATGTAGACTCGTGCAAATGGTACTATTGCTGTCGTTCATGAGATCTGATGAGATCGTAGTACTTTCAGCAGATTCAAGGGTGTACACCACTTGCTTTCCACCTAGAGAGCATGTGATATTTGCTTAGACCTGATTCACGAGCTTGTGCACAGCATTGAACGAAGCGTACTTTCTGAACAGGCGAAATGCCTTTATTTTATCCAAATCCAAAGGGGCTGGCTGGTTGATGTGACTGATGAAAATGGGATATATACTATGTAAATTGTTGGTTGCCCAAAAAAAAAGTGTAAAGGACGGAGAGGAGTTATTTATAATAACCCAGACTTTGGCTGAACTATACCCATTACGTGGAGAAGGGCTCCGAAGATGACGCATTATTGGTCCTTAGCAAATCAACTGATGATTTATGATTATAAAGGTCGTCCAAGGATCATAATCTGACGGTTGTACGACCATAATTTGAAAAAAAAAAACATCTAAAATAACATAATTGTATTGGATTTTAGAGGTCTTAGCTATATATTTCTACACAAACTAGATCATCTTATGGTTATGCTTAAACTAAGTACACGTTGATGATGAAGTGGATGAGTGGAATTCTATCTACCTTCAGAATCTATCTCAGAAGGAGGAGAGGCTAAATACAGTGCGGAGTGGCACGTGCGCAGTCACGTGACACGCGACGCCAGGGATTGGCTGACGGCCAATTCCAACAGTTGATAGTAATTTAGACAAAGCTTTCAGAGGGCTTCCTCCTGTTACTTAAGTCGTGCCAGTGTCAGGCCAAAAATAGACTGATTTTCTCCTGGCAAGAGGAATTTCCCCACCAAATTACTATGGTGCAACCCTCAATAAAATTTGCCATCTGCGCGCACGCAGGGCGCTGGCTGCAAGGCCAGCTCGACGACGGATTCACACCTCTCGTGGTGTCCGATGTCAGTAGCTGCTTGGAGGGAAGCTTAGATGAATCCAGCGCGTCGCGGTTGAATGTGAAGCTCAACGGAGCTCTACAAATAACCACGACGCGTTACTACACATTGCCACACACCCAAAAAAAAAAGAGGGAATCGATATAAAAACCATTCGACACGTCAATATTAAACTCGTATTCGAAACCGATGCAAGCCTATCGACCTCCCAGACGTGGTATCGCCTACTGACGCGACAGGACACTCTCAGCTTACACACACTCTGAGATGGCCTGCTATACAGGGTATCCACTCAATTCAATTTAGTCAAATCAGTCAATTCAATCCCTTGGCAAATCAGTCAATTCCGTGCCTCAGTCAATTCAATTCGGCATCTATAGAATTGTCAATTCAGTCAATTTGTATGTGTAGAAGACAATTGGGCCATAGAAATCAATGTAATTGGTAGAGCTATCTTCATGCTCAATGCTGGTGTTGAGCTTATTGCCTATTTCGGTAGTATGTGTACGTGAGAATAAAATATTCAATTGTTCTCCGCAAATTGTAAATCCTCTATTAAGGACTAGGGACTAACTTTAACCACGAATTACTACTTAACAAAGCATTTCTACACATTTAGACCTAGCTAGCTGTATTCAGCGTCTCTTATTCTATCTCTAATATAATGTCTAACTCTATAAGATCGTTATTAAGTCCATTTTCAGAAGATCTGTCTGACCTGAGGTCCTTCGGAGTAGGATCCTTTATCTCTGCAGAACAAATTACGTACTCCAACTTTATCAAATGCTTTTTCAGCTATCTAAGCTCAGAATCCTCGAAAGCGAACTCGAAACTATGTTTCGCCTTAAGGAGAATCAAAACGAGCACGAACTTTATTCATATAGGCCTATAGAAAAGAGGTAGTATTAGAAAACGGGTCTAATGCACGACATTATTAGGAATATAACGTCTATTAAAAGCGATATGTTGCTACTTTAATAACAAGGCTAAAAGAGCATTTACAAAAGAAATATAATATTAGCTTAAATAATATAACTTCTTCTTTATCCTAGCTATCTATTATTAATCAATAATGTTAATTTATAGAGATTTAGCAGCTTTGAAATTCACTTATAATAGCTAATATATCTTTCTAAGATCGCCTTATTAAATAAATTATAATCTCTTATACCTCTTTTAATATAGTTACTAATAAGCATTTTCGAAGCTTATTCTTCTCTTCTTTAAGCTTTATAAATAAAATCCTGCCTTATTTATCTATTAGTAATAGCACATTATAAAATTAGATTAAGAATAACTTTAAAAAAGCTAAAAACACAATATAACAGATGCTTTAGAAGAGTTAAGGAAAGATTCATATCTCCTTTAATATTTAGACCTCCCTTAATAGCTATACATTAGCCGGAATCATCTTATATTTTGTTAATAATAACTACTAAGTTAGAGCTATCTTACTTAGTATTTGTAAGGTCTATAAAGAGTATTTAAGCGAGAACATTAGTCAAATAGTTATTAATATTATTTGCGAATTTAAAGCTAAATCTGAACTTGACGCGTTTATTCTTAATAACGCTAGTAATAATAATATAGCAGTTTATTATATTCTTAATAAACTCAAATTATATAATATATACAAAAAAGAGCATTGCTAACTACGTTATTTAGGTTATATTATTAATCTTATTATATAAGACTTTATATTTAACCAGAATTTAGAGAAATAGCTATAAGAGTATACTACTATTAAGAAGAGCGCAGATATCAAAGATTTATAACGTAATTAGGTATCTTAAAGGCTTATTAGTTATCTTTAAAATCTTATTTTGTTAATTTAAAGTAGCCTATAGCGTAAGCAGGCGTTTTGCAGAATAATAGGCATAGATTTAGATCTAAACAAGCAAAATTTAATACTTATTCAGAATAATATTACTTAATAAAATTTTATATATAATATACTTATTTATATATTAGAGCTTAAGAATCATATTTAAGTATACATTAATAGTTGTTAAACAAAACGTAATTTAAAGAGCAGAATAATAGACAAAGCTATTTAAAAGTATCCTTAGCTTACAAAGGATAATTAAATAACACTTTAAGAGCTTTGTAATGCTTTACAGCTATTTAATAAAGCTATAAACTTCCTACAAAGCAATAATAAGGGAGCTAGATATAGCTTTTTGTAGGAATGCCTCTCTATAATCAAATGGCTACTATTAATGCTCGAAACGCTCAAGGAAGAGAAGGGCATTAAGGATAAAATTAGTTTATCTGCGAATAACGTGTGAAACAAGATAAAGAAATATTATGAAGTAACTGATCTCTCTCCTTATTACGTTGCTGCTATCGTCCTTAATTCTGCTTATAAATAGAGATATTTCGATATCCATTAAAAGAACAACAAATACTAGATCTCTGAGGCTAAGAAGCAGATAAAGGCGCTATAGAGTAGATACAAGATACAGCATAAGCACGCAGTTAAGGAGGAGCAGTTACTGCCTGCAGTGAAGTTCTCTCCTAAAGAAGGCTTATTCAAGAGCTTTTTAGCCTGCGGCCAGTCAACAGCTAATGAGGATAAGGCTACTGACGAATATATGGCTTATTGTCAGCTATCTGCGCTCAAGTTCGAGCCTCAAAATCTCATTACTTAGTAGAGAGAACAAGAGCCCTCATTTCCGCTTCTGGCCACTCTTGCGTACACTATCCTTGCTATCCCTGCGATGAGCGCTAAATGCGAACGCGTATTTAGCTCTGCGAAGCTACTTATTACGCCAAATCGCAACAGGTTGAGCCCAGATACCATCGAATGGTCTGAATGCCTTCGAAATTGGTACAACAACAAGGTTATTTGAGATATAAAGAGTGGTAAGTATAGTCAATAGGCTCTATTTAGGTGCTAACAGCTTAAATACAGCTATATCCTTCTCCTGGGCGCCTCATCTGCCTCCTCCTCCTCCTCCTCGCCGCCGTCGAAGTCGAAATAGCGCATATCCATACAAACTGACTAAATTGTCAGATCAGTCAAATCAGTCAATTCGAGGGCGCTGATTATGTAATCAATTCAATCCGAGGCCTCAAATTGACTGATTTGAATTGATGGATACCCTGCTGCTATAACATGCCGCGAGGGTAGCTGGATCTTTTACAGGTATGGAAAGATACTCAACAACACTCACACCCGCAATCTCGATCTCGCCAAAGTCCGCTTCTACTTTTGAAAACCTGAAGCGCACGTGACACGTGGGATCTGAAACGATGCGTAATTCAGCAGGCCCGAAGCTGTGGCTGTGCAAGGCTGTTCCCAGCGAGCCTCAGCCAGCCCCTGAGCATCAACTGAATTTTACTGAGCTTCCCATAAGAGCTGGTTCTAGGCCACTGTCTTAATTCTAGTCTTCGTGTAAGACAATTTCGTGGCTCTAATACCTTGTATCCGAGAGAAAGCAGTCATAAACGAGTCTCGTCGGATCACAGCACTTGCAACATCCAAACTCGCTCCCGGTAGTAGCGCCAAAACAAGCTTGGAGATACAGAGACTGGAGTAGTATTCTACCAGGTGTAAGTATCCAGTCTTTGAAATACCTGTAAAATGACTGAACCGACCATGTTTAGACCCCAATCAGCATGACTCTACGTGTCGTTCTTTTGGATCCAACCGTCTTTCAAAGAAGCAGATATCACGGTAGTGCGCAAACGCGCTTGAAGGCTCCGCATCTCTCATCAATAAGAGGAAAGTGGACGCAGCAATAATGTCACTAGACCTGCAGGTCATGGCGTCCGGCATGGTTCCCACAGTTCTGACTTCCAGTGGGATAAATCTGCTACCAAATCCATGTCATGTTGACCCACGCCAACGGCGAAGAAAGCCACGGAGCAAACGGTAGGGACGGGCATCACTATGTCTCGCGAATCATCAGAGTCCGTCCTGAGAGCCAGGTCCTGGGAGACGAGAATCCAGTTGGAAGCCAATGGCTATGAGCAACATGCACACATAGCCATGCCGAGAAGCAGTGGCACTTTTGAATCTTAGGACATCTAAAGCGGTCAGCCAGCACCTAGTTAGTAAGTTGATGGGCGAGAACATTAAGGTTATGCCTGACACTACGATCTGCAATTGTGCATTGCGCTGGTGAAGCCGAGGATCTCGAACGAAGGTCGTAGAGTAGTCCGGGAGCGTGTTGCATGCGCCAGTGAAGAGTATTAGAGAAGCTTTTGGAAATACCTTGGTGGGTAGGCGGGAGACCGTCAAAGCCGCTCACCCCTGTCGCAGATGTAGTGAGTATGAGATTTGGCTTCTTCCAAAGGGAGTCTTCCACCATGGTCTGAGTGCCGTCCTTCACAGAGATCTCAGTGGACTTCATCTTTGCCGGGTCGGGTTCTGTCTATCTACACTGATATTCCCATCCTCATCGCTTGGTTACTTGGTATGCTACATTCCGGAAACTTGCTGATGAAATTTTGAAACTGCTGCCTGCAAGATATCATGGCAAACCCTCTCTGTACAGTATTATTCATGAACGCCGCTCTACTGACTCTATATAAAATATGCTTGTACCTGCACACGCAGCTCTCATCCGTCTGTTCGCTCAAGCCTCACCCTAAATGCAGCAGGGTTCACCGCTACCGCCCTGCCGCTGGAGTCGACATCAAACACAAAAAGCTCTGTGCTCAAACCGCCATACGTTAAGCCATCAACACTGAACCAGTCTGCTGTTACAAATTGCGAAATCGGTCCAACTTGCACACTCGGCGCATCAGCACCTCTGACCGCTCTAAACGCCACCTGTCCCGTCGCTACGTCTGCGATCGAGGGCAGGAGTCGGTTGGGCAGATTCCTCCTCATCCCAGGCAGCGTGAGGAGCACGTCCGTGCCGTTGCTGATGAAGCTCGATATCGCCAAGCCAGGCGGCGCCCCTTGAGACTGGTTGAGGGACAAGGTCAAGGAGGAATTCAGTCCTTCCACCGTGGACGTGTACGAGCCCGCAAAGTTGCTTTCGGCTTCAGCAGCAGCCTGGGCCATCAGGGCAGGCAGGATCGTGTCGGCCACCAGATCGCCAATGGCGCCAATGATGGTGAGACGTTCGGCCGATGTACTAGCCGTAAGGATGCTGAAGCCCGCGTCGAAGTCGGGTAAGAGCACGAAGAAACTGCCGTAATGACCAGAGTCGCCGCCCTTGGTGTAGAGGTCAGTGACGACGCCTGAGTCTGCGTACGTGTAGCGTACGATCTCCCAGGGAGCGCCGACTGAGGATTGCAAACGGGCGGTGTGGGAAAGGGGTTTCATCCACTTGCGTGTCTCGTCGGGCGGAAGCAGGGTGTGGTTGAGGATGCCAACGCCGAGTTTCGCGAGGTCCTGTGTCGTGGACAAAAGACCTCCGGAGGACTTTGCCATGTCGCTGTCAGACGCGAAGTAGCTAATATCGCCAGGGATCACTGCGCGGAACCATTCGGACTGGATGGGGGGACTGGAGTTGGAGTTGGTCATGTCGAGGGGATCAAAGATACTGTCGCGATATATTTCATCAATGGTTTTCCCAGTGATGTTGGCGAGCACCAGGCCGAGCAGGGAGAAGCCGTTATTACTGTACCCCGGACTAGTCCAGGGGAGAAAGGTTGGCGGACGATTCTGGACGCCCATGATGTATCGCTCTGGGTCTTCGGCACAAGCAGGGTCTTCAGAGCCTATGCATGGTAAGGATGAGGAAATCGGGTCGTTTGAGTCTAACAGTGGAAGACCCAATGCTGTTGGGTTAAGGTCAGGCTGCAATAGAAACTCCCCTAGCGAAAGAAAGTCACGTGGCACACCGGCAATTTGAGCCGCGAGAGCACGGGGAGTGACCAAGTCCCATTGAACGTGACCTACGATGTTGTTGTTGTTGTTGGACGTCTCCATTAGCTGGGGAAAGAACTCTGTCAGAGGACGGTCCCAGTCGGTGCTATCAAGCCCCAGCAGACCTGCATAGACTGTGAAGAGCTTGCTGACGCTGGCGATGCGGTAGATAGTGTCTCCGTCGACTTGGTTTGTGCCATTGGGCGCGTTGGCCACTTCGGCAGACGTGTGGTGGAATTGCAGAATCTCGGTAGCGGCAGAGTCGTGGATTGAGAACATACCCAGGGAGAAGGTTACATTTTGGATTGCAGACAGAGCATCGTTTGAAGATGCAGCGCTTTGATCAATGCCGCTGAGGTATGCCTGTAGCGTTGAAGTGAGGTTCGCCCAACTGGCGGCGACAAGGCTTTCGTCGCTGGTTAGGTCTGCAGGGGGTGGGTATCGTGGGCCTAGGTAGTCGGCCAGGACGGGTGTAAGGCATATCGGAAGCAGCGTGAGAAGATGCCGTAGACGGGACATGTTGCTGGTTTCCTTCTTGTTGGAAATGGTAGTATACAGAGTAAATGCGATATTCTTCAAGCCTTCTGCCGTGTGCTGGCACATATATATACCCAACAACCGGTGCGTAGGTAGGGACCCCGAAGTGACATATTGCCACGACTCTGCCCAGCCTGCTTAGATGACTCTGTCGTATTTCCCCTTTATGCTGCGCTAACTGGTACTATAGTAGCTGGAAAACTCGTATAGAAAGGAAGAGGCTCATCTGGGGATCCTTCGAACAGCACTAGTAACCAGATATAGATGGTGCTGTGACGCGGTGGCCTTGGCACCCATCCTTGACTGCGTGTTTCTCAACATCGTCGCTACTCGCCTCTGGTGCAAATAGGAAGCACACAGTGACTTCGGATGTGAGCGGCGTGGAGGCATGGTGAAGCGCAGGAGCGACTGCGGTCTGGTACGTAGTATGTTGCAGTATGGGGATCGGGAGCGTGGTGACACCTACTAGTGGAACATGAGGTTGATTTGCGGAGCTCAGGGGATGGATGTGCTGTCACAAAGCCAAGATGCTAAGATACACAGGAATGCGTCGTGTAGTATCACGCGAAATGGCGATGATGAATTCGACAATCGATCCCGCCATTCCTTCACCATCTTTGAAACATCGTTCAAGTAGTTGGACGGTGAAGGCTGCCAAGGGGCCCAGGGCTGTTATTGGCTGACTCAATACCAGCTAACCGTATAGAGGCCTTTGCAGCGCTCAGCGCTAAGCTCCCCACCGTCCTCCGGTCCTCTGGTCCTTCGGATCCAACCTGAAGTGAATAATTTGTCGTCTCTCCGCCGCTGATCATCCAGCTACACAGTAAGACTCAGCCATGTAATACCACCACAGCATGTCTCGAGATGCTAACTATGTCAGGGCACATCCTCCGATGGCATAGATTAGAGGTAAGAGTGTGTCAGACATAAGCCAGTTTACGGTCCTCCGGAGGCCGCGCTTCTTTTGGTCCAACACGAGGTCTTTGAGAACCTAGATATTTGTCAAAAGTGTTCGTAAGGCTGACCCTTATGGTAATCTGATAAATAGCCGCGTCGAGTTTTTGGTCCGTAGAGTATGCGTGGCATGTTTTGCGGGCGAACGTTTCAATTTCCGCTAGGTACTCACAAAGGAATCTCGGGTCATCACGAAGTTCATTGGCATGCCAGATCGGGCCAAGACTCTGCCCAAAAACTACGCCTGACAACCCGACAGCTCTGTCTCCGATGGAAATGGATTTGCTTATATGGGAGCCACTGCACTGTAGAGGCGGTTCTTCGAGTTCCATGTGGTTGATCCCGTTTGCTGCGACCAATTCGGTACCTAGGAACGAAGGCCTTCGGCCTCTATTGGCATTCGGCACCCTGAGGGGATGTGTATATTCCCTTGCCTCACCAGTAGCCCTTCTGCGACCTGAATAAAGGGTTCTGCGCAGGGCTTTGAATAGTCCACCTTGATACTCAATCGATCAACATCGCTGAAAATACCTAGAAGAGCGTAGATGTGGTCCTTCATTTCTGTCGCCTGCAAGGAGTGAACCTTCGTCGAGCCGTTCAATAAAGGTTGTCGATCTTGATCATGCCCTCCTGCTGCGGCTTGCAACAGGCGCGGCCTGCAACTGTGCATCACTTGTAGGGGTAGGCCTGCAAGCATGGACCCCTGACAATGGCAAGGCGTCGTGCGGAAGCGATGTTCCCTTCAGTGCTTTTCGAGAGTTGGGAATTTTTGTCACGTACACGTTTTGCCCTGATGACTCGAAGCCCAGACTCTTACATGCGATCGAGGTCCCAATGGGATATCGCCCAAACAGGGACGTACCGCAGATTAATATGTCGGCGGCTTAACGGGAGGAATCTGTCTCTAAGCACGGAGTACGGGATAACTTTAGTCTGCCGACATACTGCGGATTTCCGCTAAGTATAGTGGAAGTCTGTGCTCCTGTCGACTGACCATAGATATCTAGGTAGGGATGGCTAGGACCCTTGTATGATGTAATAGCGAGAACGTTTCAGATGAGATTTATAGTCATAACGAAAGAAGCTCGAATAGATGGCATGGGATCGACCTCGTAGCTAATCTTGGTCTATCACCGACATGGAGCCATTGAAGTCCAGTATCTTCACTGGGCCATGGCGATTTGGAAGACCGTAAGTGGACTAGAAGCCGGAACTGAAGCTGGTCCGAAAGGTGCCGTAGTCGTCGCCATGGTGGTGATGCCGTGCAGCGCTTGAAAGAAACAACGATTTAGATCCTTGTATTGAAGAATAAGGGGACGTCTTTGGACCGTTCTGACCGTTCTGACCATGAAGGAGAAGAACCTAGGTACGAACGGAGAAATAAGGCTGAATCTTGAGCTCAATTGAATTTCAGGCTATCAAAGAGTTAGTCGTACTACCTGAGCCTTGAGCTTTGATATCAAGATGCAGCTTCTAGTCAGCCAGTTTGCAGCCTTGTTATTTAAGTACAAAGGCTGTAAGCTTTGAAAGGTGGGACCTCATTTCCCAGCCCAGACTGGGTTGTCCAAACCTCTCAGAGATGTTGGCACAATTCTTTATTGAGCCCATGCTGGCCTACACAGTTGTGTCCTGTGAAAAATGGTTGCACACGATTAGAGTGAGAAAACAGCATAACTTCAACCTTCTCATACAATGATCCAGGGTCTGAGAAAAATGCCATTCCACCCACATTCATCAGTATCAGGGTTATTTCCTCGTAATTTTCAGTGCTACCTTGCCACGCGGGCGTATTCATACGCACTTTCGTTACGACTACTCGATTCCCCGCTGGGATCAGGCATGCCGGCAGAAGGAGTTGACGAAATCTTCAATCCGGAAATGTGGCAACCATCGCAGCAAGTGCTGCCATAGTATGTTCCTTCGAGTTCTGTCCCTCCAGGATCCTTGGAGGTCATGGAGCAAACTTTCTCGTCCGAACCAGGTGGATCTCGCCCTCCCCCGTCTCCTCCCCACACCACCGATATTTCCAGATAGGGTTACATTGCGATGGTGAATTCTTTTTGTCCATATGAAACTCGTCGCTGCTTGCTTGGTCTTCGTCTTCATCTTCCCCTTCATTCTCGTCCTCGTCCTCGTCCTCTTCGGTACTTCCTTCTTGATATTTCTCATTCGTTACTTTGGTCGCTCTGCGATTCGTCGCATTTTGAGAAACCTTGGGGTTGATAAACCTCATGATACCTGTCTCATTGATGAAGTCAAAGATGGTGAATGACTGACGCCCTCTGCCGCCTTTCGAGTGATAGATGTCCAGAGTACAATTCCTGGCACCTCTCCCTAAGCTGTAATCGAAGCACGGCGACTGTATTGACCACGAGCCGTTACATTCCACTTGCCCGACCTCTCAGATGCAGTCAATTGGGTAAGAACTCCTTGTTGTAGTTCTTGAATCTCTTTGTGTCTTGCCTCATTTGCTCTTTGTTAAGTTCGCTGGGCATCGCGATAGATTTCGGAAATCTTGGAAAAGACAGCCGATCTACTCTTTCCCACAACCAGCCACCGGTCAGGAGACTGGCGTGTGCCATTTGCGTTCAAAAGGTGCATCAGCAGACTCGTGTTGAAGGTGCACAAGCTCTGCTGCCTGGCGTTGCTCTGCACAAGCGTGTGTCTTGAGGACAATGACCTTGTCCACGGAAGTTCCCTTTGCTACATCCACAAACTTACCCCGTAGGAATCATCTTAGATCCATCACTGCTCGCGCTTCATTGCGCTTCAGAGCTAGCCATTTCGCATCTTGAGCTGCAGCATTTGGCGTTAGATATTCGGAGTTCAGTCGCGACTGAACTTCTTGCAGCTCAGCGGTCATCAGAGTACCAGTAGCACTACCTCTAAGCCGGTCTTGCATATTTGCAATAGTTCCTGCCTGACTGAGACCTCGAAACGCACATCGTGCTTTCCACCACTCCCTCGCTCTCCGTAGGACATGTGGTTGACGAACTGCAATCTTACCAGCTTTTGTCCTTTTCGGTTCTATCAGGGGAAAGAAGGCCTGGATATTAGAATAGAAACAACTATACACTTTCTTGATGAGTCCGGTGCCTGAGCATGCGAAGTTTTGCGGGCCACACTTGATCTCTAAGGCAGGTAAAATCTGTGGGTAGAGGGCCATGGTGCTTTGAAGGTGCCTCTACTGATTACCCACCTATTAATTGGGAGATAATACTGTGCAGTTGACTCTTCGATGTTTCGAGTTTTATGTGAATAAGTTATCTGGAGGACTGCGGAGTAGTAGGAAGAGCATAATATGAGGGGCTTAACTTATGAGGGCCACCTGTGAGGCTCCTCGCGCAGCGCATTTTCTAATACTGGCACCAGCTCCGAAGGAGATACTTCATGGTAGCAAATGCAGCCAGGGGAGTTTAAGCACAACAACGAATCATTTGCGTGTGTCCAGCTCTACGGGCTGCTGCGCTATTGTGATATCTTTGCTTCCTTCGGGGCAGAAGGATTGAGGGGGAGCTCTGGAGGCTTGGAATTAGATGCCGTCGGTCTTGGCATTTGCAGACTTTCCGGTGCGGAGGGAGCTGTAAGAGCAATATTGGCCACGGCGCAGCGGGACAGTTGTGCAGTAACTCCGTACAGAGTCATGCTTCTTGAGCCCCCTAGCTAGTGTGGCGTTGCTAGCCTCTCTTAGCTTCAGCATAACCAACTAACAGTACAAGGAGTAAGTATCTTGCGAGGCCTAAAAGTCATTAAATTATGCTTATCTTTCTAGGCTCTTCGTGGTGTTCCTTATAAGGCTTGACTTAACATCTAAGCCCTATCACCCCCTTATGCTAAGCCTTACAAGCTTATTAAGTTTTAAGTCATCTCAAGGAGTAATTATCAGTGGCTAAGTCCAAGATGGTTAGTTTCTTGGCCACATTCTAGCGGCAGCCAACTACTTTTGAAGCACGACTCCGTACTATTCCTCCTAAGTTGAGCACCTCGTTTACAACACCCAGCCATAGCCATAGAATCTGCTCGTCAATACAGAGAACACATTCAGATTCTCATAGAACATGGCAGAAACGCAATCGTTCCCCCTCCTCTGTCTGGAGAACCCTCTCTTGGGTAGGACACTTTCATGCAAACCCCGACCTGGCCCTCAATTGAAACTTACTGACATCTATTCTTGCAGACATCCAGGGAGTAGGGTGAGCCATCACCTACATATTGTACTTTTAGCAGAACATAAAAACTGATTATCAAAGCGACCAAGCCATGTTGGACAAATACGGCATGAAACCCAACGACACCATTCTCGCCGAGGAAAAGCATATGGGCATCTACGATGACCTCCTCTCCAACCGCAACGCCAAGCTCATCGCCGGCGGTGCCGCCCAGAACACCGCTCGAGGTGCTCAGTACATGCTCCCGCCGAACTCAGTATGGTATGTCGGCTGTGTTGGTGAAGATGAATACGCCCAGACGCTTCGAGAGGCGTGCAAGAAAGAGGGTGTGCATACCGAGTATATGGTTGTCACGCATCAGCCCACAGGAAAGTGTGGCGTGGTGATCAACGGTCACAATAGGAGCATGTGCACCCATCTGGCGGCGGCGAATGAGTACAAGCTCGAGCATCTGAAATCGGAGAAGATATGGAGCATGGTTGAGAAGACAGAGGTCTTCTACGTTGGTGGATACCATCTCACGGTCTGTGTTCCAGCGATCATGGCGTTAGCGGAAGAAGCTCTGGCGAAGAACAAACCGTTCCTACTAGGCATGGGCGCAGCATTTATTCCACAATTCTTCAAAGATCAGCTCGCGCAGGTGATGCCCTATTGTGATTACGTATTTGGAAATGAGGACGAGGCAGAAGTCTGGGCTAAAACCCAAGGCAAAGACACCAAGGACTTGAAAGAGATCGCGAAGATGATGTGCGAGGTCCCGAAGAAGAATAAACACAGGCCCAGGACAGTGGTCATCACGCATGGAACGCAGCCGACAATCACAGCCAGGATGAACACGGATATGGAAGTTGAGTTCAACGAGATCCCAGTCCATGCGATCAGTGAGGAGGAGATCAATGACACCAATGGCGCCGGGTGAGCACCAAAACTGCTCAATCATTAAGGTATATTGCTAACATATGGGTGATCCCAGTGACGCTTTTGCCGGTGGCTTCACCGCAGGTGTTGTTCAAGGAAAGTCACTAGAGGAGTGCGTACACATGGGACAGTGGCTGGCACGTCTAGGCCTTAAGGAACTAGGTCCCTCGTAAGTCGTACCCATCTGTTTTCTGACCCCTGAATTTGCCAAGAAATAAACCATCTTCACCCCGCGGACATATGGAAAGAACCCGTCATTGCTCCCCTGCGAAAACTTTCTAGTATCGCATTCAGAGACCCTGCTTGCCTCTTCCAATTCCCGCCCATGCATCCGCCTTCGCTCAAGCTCTGACTCGATACAACAGGTACCCGTTCCCGAAGCAGACGTACGAAGGGTAGGCCGTAGAAGCCTGTCCTCGTCCTCGTCCTCGTTATGAGATGGCTTGATCCCTGCATAGAAGCGCAGGCGTTCTCAACAACGATTTGCAATGATTGAAATGTCCTCCACGACAAGATAGAAAGCATAGAGCTCAAATACAAGCAGACATGGCACTATGAAAAGGTGCTCTTGACGTTCAGAATTTTGCGTCGCATGTTTTCTGCTGTTCCACTTCGATGCGTGAAGTACAGTCCCAATTCTTCTACCTCCCTCGTCACTCAACCCATGTAGACGTATGAAGTGCTCACCCGCCCTGCCCACTAGGCGGCGTCTGCCCCGCAGCCCCAAATCTCGATCGTTCCGGCACCGGTCTCGGCACATCATAGCTCGGGAACATTGCCGCATCCGGAACAATGCTCGGAGAACTCGCAAAAGGTGAAAGGATCGGCGACATGTCTCGACTGAGGTAGAATCGGGGATTGTTGCCCGGTGAGCTCGGGTTTTGTGATAGTGGCGTGGTGGAAAGGTCGTAGATGGAGGATTGGGGTTGCATTTCGAGCTCCGCCTGTTGGCGGAGAAGGGAGGCTTGGAAGCGGGTGTTGCTGGATTGGAGGGTGTTTGGGGTGCTGCTGGCGGGGGTTTGTAGGTGACCATGTGCTGTGCTGGGTGGGCTCTGGGGAGAGGAAGCCTCACCGGGTCGAGGGGAAAAGAGTGAGTTCATGATGCTTGGGAGGGACGGACGGATGTTCTCGTGTGGCTCAATCAGTACACTAGTAGAGGCTGGTAGGCCGTAAAAGCCATCACCATAGCTGCTGCGGTTGGCTGTTGGAGTACGTGGTGGCTCTCCATGCGAGACTCGAGGGAAAGCTGAGCCCGGCTCTTGGTGACTAGAGACGTCGGAAGCTACTATGTTATCCACGATTGGGTGCTTTGTCGTGCTTACCGATTCACACGGTATGATAGATTGGGAAGCATCTTCAAGGTGGGCATTGGAATTAGGCACCGGCTTGCTCTTCTGCTTCGCTCGCTCAACAACATCACCACGGTTTATGATCAAAGAGAAGTGTGGATGCGAATGCGATTTGTGGTATGTTGGCTGGAGCGGAAGTTCTTTCCCTGTGAATTTAAATCTCATATCGTGAAGAATCATCAGAGGTACAGAGACTCCATTACCGTTACCCTTTAGAAATGTCAGCTACTCACACTCGAGGTGAGGAGGAAGACCTCATACCTTCTTCGTTGCCAAGGAGATTCCGTCCTCAAGCAGGCCCCTGATACGGAAGAGCATTTCTACGCTTGGGTGGGGTCTTTGGACGCCCTCATCATGGCTTCTCGGACGACGCGTTACTCCATCAGCCTGGTAATATCTTCTTGATGTTTCCGGGTTGATGAAAGGAGTAAATGCAATTGTATCTTCATCCTCCTCAAGCAAGTAATGCAGATCTGGGAAGTTCGGCTTACGAAAAGTCGACGCGAGGAGGGTGAGCCCGCGAGCGTAGAAACGCCAAAACTCTTTGATTTGGACACCAATAGACTTGTGGTCTGCAAGGGCTACGAGATGTGAAGCATTTGAGACCAACCAGCTGCTGTACTGACGGAGACATGGCAGGGTGCGTCGAGCAGCGGTACTAAGCTTGCCAGAAGTAACATTTGGTAGAGAAACATCACCGACATTGTCGTCGTCAACGGTGACCTGTTCCAGCTCTTGCAAAAAAATTCGTAATAAGGTTAAGAACGTTTTGAGATTGAGTCGCACGAAGAAAATAAGTGCTTGAGCTTTGAGACCCCTCTGAGCTGGTCCTATAGTCGATATAAGTACTGGCCCTTATATTTTGGAGTACTTACCTGCTGCCTGAAGGCTTGCAAGATGCTGTGCAGCAACACTGCTCAAGACCATCTTGTTCAGCACACCGTTTAGTGGGCGGTCTTTCAGCTCCACCGAAAGGGTTGCCAGGACCTCGTTTTCAAGCTCTATATGCTCCGAGAAGTGAACACCAGCATGAAGCTTCGCGTGTAGGTACACAAACAAAGCTTGAAGAACAATACTAGGGTACTGTTCTGGTAGTTGAAGAAAGAGTTGATTCTTGTTCTTTCGATCAAGGATTTTCTTGAGCTCAATCTCGAGGTTCTTTTGTGCTCTTGGGTAAGGCAATTCAACGCTTAACGCTCGATATAGGTGATAAAGCGTCCTCAAATGGCTACCATCCGCTCGAGCGATAACTGCCAACTGGTTGTGCGAAGCACCAGAGGAGGGTTTCATTGCGGTTGCAAGGTCATAATAACCTACAGCCGGTGCCCAATTTCGCTCTCTGGTCTTTAGCTCCGTCTCCCGATAGCGAGACAGATCCCCAAGCCGGACAAGAGTGGCATGACATGACTCAAGAATGAGCTGTATCTCCCGCTGAGTTGGCACAATGATGGGGTCGGCAGAAAGTGCTGCATAATCAGCCTTATACTCTTGTTGATAGAAGTGGACTCACTATCTATATGAAGTTTATATGCGACCTCAAGAACCTCTTTCGGACCTTCGAAATGCGATGCCAGATGCTGAATATGTCCACGATAGAATATTATGCTAGACTTGATGAAGTCTAGATAGCGCTTCTCGAGCTTCCGTCGCTCCACAGATCTATTCTTACCCCCTTTATCCCTGAAATTTGCCAGGCGAGAGCGGTACTTGCTATTGATCATGCCATGAGCGTTCCATAATCGAGACTCTGTACTCTCTGCTGCTGCTGCAAGATTTGCAAAAAGGACTGTCTCACATGTTGTACGATACCTAGCTGTCTCAGTGACCGTAATCATGAAGGTAAAGATCATACTTTGCGATCAAGACATCTATCTCTGCACAGGTAGGCTCCTTGAGAGCTACAAGAGTGAGCAATTGCTTCTCCACTTTGTCAGCAAACCTGAGATAGGTCAGTCAAAAAGCCAAAGAGTGCTTCATATGCTGTACTTACGCGATTTGATTGGAAAAGAGTGCACTCGTCATTCTTTAATAGGTTCAAGAATCTTCTTATAGGCCATTCTTGGCCTACCTGTTGTTCCTGCTAGATGAGGGTATTCGGATACGACCCCGAAACCAACTCCTACGACCCATATCAGACGTTGGCTGTTATCAAAATGTGGTTGATGAGGTTGGACCAAGAGAGCCAAGAGGTTCTGCGCTCAGTGATTCGACCTGGGCTAGTCCTTTTCGCGTTAGTGAAAGTAACCTGACTCAGCCGTATCAGCATGGTTATCTGATTGGGACCTCTGTGATATTTGTACCAGGAAATGTGGTATATTAAAGATTCATTGCAGATCGCTGTACTTGTCTAAAGTTGCTAGGCTGCCTTGGTATACCAACTACTGTTTCCTAGCTGCACTTTTCTGAGAGTTGTTCCTCGCTCAGCATCAGGTGCCAAGACTATCAATAGGGGTCCAGAAGCTTATTGCGATCTACCGTCTGCAATGTTGTATCTGACACGCTTATCCATCTGTCTCAGGGAGAGGACTCTGCAATCCAGGACACGTCTTAACAGTGGCTCAACCAATGAATATGTTGTGTGCCGTTCTCGCGGCAGCCACACATCGGCCAAAACAAGACCTTCAGAATCACATGCAAACTGTCAAGCAGATAGAACAAATGGCTCTGTTCTCTCTCAGAAAGAGGCAGCGTGCGTAGATATACCACATACGTACAAAATTAGCTGCGAAATTGCAGTAGAAATGGACCAATCCAAACCAGGCGGAACCCAGGGGTTACGCGGAGAAATTCCAACCAATGAGCACTAACACAGTCCGACACAAACATATCCGCGCTCTTTTACATCCAGAACTCTCTGTCCATCTTGACAAGTGGAAAGCCTGATGAAGAGGTTCTTTCAAGCGCTATCGAGCACAATCAGATAAGCAACATTGGTTCTCCAAGCCTGTCTGACCAAGGTGGCGAAGCGCTCACCTATGAAAGAAAATCGAGTTCGAAGAGAGTCGCAATTCATAGAAGCCGTTGAGAAAATGCTGCTGCTAAACTTTGGAACCCTCTTGCCGGCCTCGGCAAAGCGCAGCTGATGCGTGACGTAGAGGAATACGCGAAAGAGAAAGACCTCATACACACTTTAGACGACGTAAAGAAAGGAGCTCTAATTGCACAGAATCCTACCGGTTTTGAAATGCTCGAAAAACTGAGCGAAGATGAGAAAGAAACTCTCCGGGGAGAGACAATGCATCGGTGGCATCAACCTTGGATGATGTACTTCATGACTAGTACGTTCTTCTGCACGCTCTCTGGCATATTCAAGTCAAGCTAATGTATTTTGTTGCAGTCGCGTTTGTGCTGTTTTGGCAGTTGTACAGGGCATGCATCAGACCTGCGTCAATGGGGCTCAATTGTAAGCAAATATGTTAGCCTTGTAATCTGCGCTTACATAGGCTTATCACTTATCAGGTACTACTTTGAAGACTTTGGACTCGAAGACGAACGGCTGCAAGGTCTCGTCAACGGCGCCCCTTACCTTTGTTGTGTCGCGATCGGGTGCTGGACCTCCGCCCCGTTAAACAAGCACTTCGGCCGTCGTGACACAATCTTTACAGCTGTATCTGTCCGTCTTATCCCTAATGGGGTAGGCCCTCACCGGTTCCTGGTGGCATCTGTTCATCGCACGCTTCTTCATGGGATTTGCCATTGGAGCAAAGTCTTCGACTACACCCGTTTACGGGGCAGAATGTGCGCCGAGATATAGATCTCCACAATCTGGTGCTTTCGACTGGCAAATGGGAGATCGAAGATGATGAGTTTGAGGACCTAGCAGCAATCCAGACATGTCATGGATGAGAGCTTATCGATCGAGGGATAGCGGTGACTTCCCACTGCCATCAGCAAGTGGTGTGTGAGGCACATTGAATATCAACAAATGTCCCCTGACTGCTCTGGTAGTTGTGTTGTTCACAGAATAGAGAATCGAATATGGTTTCGTGGTAATCACGTGACAGCCCTGTAAGGGCTCTGAAAATGACGCTGTATTGGTGCTTAAAATAGCCGATGGTTGGTCATTACAAGGATCGTCAAAGGGCCATTGGATGACCATACGTAGTAAGTTGACTGTCATGTAGTAATAATTTTGAAAAGAGACGTCTGAAATGACGAAAATCAAGTAAGATTTTCAATGTCTTATCTGAGTAATTCTACACAAACTAAGCCATATTATGGTTAGCCCTGAACTAAGCACACATTGATGTCTCTCTGCCATGAATCTAGCAGGAGAATGCCCTCTGAAAACTATGCCTAAATTACCATCAATGGATGCTTAGTTTAGGCTTAACCGTGATATGATCTAATTTATATTTTATCAGCTAGATATCTGAAATCCACTGAAATCATGTTATTCCAGACGTCATTTTGGGAAAATGACAGTTACTACGTAGTAAATTATGGCTAGATTATGGTCATTCGATGCTTGAATTGACAAAACGTCTGCTAAATTACTCAGGACCAATACCGCGTCATTTTCAGAGCCCTTTTCCCGGTTAGGAGTCGTCGAGTCACCTGCCAAGGCTCTAGTACCCATCGGGCTTGCAAGACGCATCCTGAACGTGCCGCGTTCCCGTCCCCTGTCCCCTGCTGCCCTGCTGCCCTGCTGCCCTATTGCCCTGCTCCCCTTGTCGCATCTCGCTTTTCTCATCTCCAACCCCGCGTCTTCCCCAACTGAATCTCAACTCCATCTCCAACTTCCTCCGCAGAGCTCTCCCCACACCATTCTTAGATACCTGATCCGGCATTCTGTGGGCGTGACCATCAACTCCAGCGGGAACTGCATTCCGCACATCGCGATCACCGTCAACCATGGCGGACACAGCCAAGAGGCGCAAGACCTCCGCCTCCACCAAAACCAAGACACTCCCTTGCCCGTCAGCAGCCTTCTGTCCGGTTCAGATTCAATTGATGCAATTTTCTGACATTGGAGTAGACATTGCCAACGCCTCTTCGCTCGACTAGAACACCTGCAGCGTCACATTCGTACGCACACAAAAGAAAAGCCGTTAGCATCTTTCCCACAATACTCCTTCAACCGGAGCCTGACCTTTTTAGATTTGTATGCGACATCTGCTCCAAAACCTTTGCGCGGAGTGACCTCCTTGTGCGCCACGAGAGACTCGTACACCCTGGCGATGAGACTGAAAGACGCTCGCACACGCAGCATCAAACTGCCCCTCCTCCACCACCTCCGCCTCCGATCCATCAACAATCCTCGCTGCCGGACTCCATGGACATTGGCCCACAGTCTTCAAACTCGATGATATCCCCCCCATCCACGCACGACAGTCGCCTGGTGGACATGGTCGACCCGGAACTGACACGATCACCACAGACGTCTCGAGGCCAGATGGACACCATGGTTTCGCATACACAAGGAATGTTCGATACCCCTCAGCTCGACCCGTCCTGGGGCTATGACCTTAATCTTCTGTCTCACGCGGCAAGTCACGTCGCTCTAACCGGACAGACACATCCTGAGGACACCTCCCACCAGCCTGATCCTCCGCATGACCCCGCATTACAGCTCATGCAAGCAGCTCAGGCAGCCCCGCAGTATGACCCAAAATTACTTGGAGATACATATTCTCAAGCACCTCCAGTATTTGATGCCCCCGATCTCGAAGACCCCATGCAAGATTTCAATGTGTTTCTTGATTCCGTTGGCCTCTCCTCGGACTGGCATCAAGGAATATTCAACAGCATCGAACCAAACGACTCGATGGTCTCCCCTACAATGCGGTTCAATGAACAGCTTCAAGCGCCAAGACCAAATATGAACGGTGATGCCATGAGTGATCAGAGATCAACTGGTCAGCCAGAAGACTCGACCTCATTTTCTCGCTTTGGCTCACGCCTTCCTTCCTTACATCTAGAGTCCTCTCAAGACCACGAATCACATCTGATGGACGACTATTCGAACTCTAAAGTGCGACCCGTTTGGGAAGTACCTGATGCAGACCGGGAGATCTTCGTCAGCAAGCTCGATGCGTTTGTAGACGTCTTACCCAAGGGATTTATTGCACCTTCAAAACATTCTCTGGCGAGATATCTTGCCGGTTATATCAACGGCTTCCATGAGCACCTACCATTCATGCACATTCCCACATTATCAGTGGCCTCGTCTGCGCCGGAGCTGGTCTTGGCGCTTGCTGCTGTTGGTGCACAGTATCGCTTTGAGAACAGGCGAGGCATTGAGATATTTTATGCCGCAAGGGCAGTGGTAATGGAACAGATACGGCGAAGAGAAGGCTGCTGGATGCCTCAAGATCCATGGCCTCGATCAGCCCCGCTAACGCAATCTCCTGGTGGCGACTACCAGGGTCTGAGTCAAAGCGGCGGTCCAGCACAGTACATGCCCGTAGGTGGGCCGCCCGCTCCTGACAGTAGCGCACGGCTAGGTTCGATACAGGCTCTGTTACTGCTCACTGCGTTTGCGACTTAAAGACATCAAGAGCTGTTACGAGAAGCGCTTGCGTTTCAGAGCATTTTGGCAAGACTTGTGCGGGATGACGGTCTTACAAGTCCAGACACCTCGTCTTCTGACAGTCTGTCATGGGAAGACTGGATTCGTCTGGAGTGCGCGAAGCGGACGAAGTTTATCGTCTACTGCTTCTTCAACCTCCATTCCATTGCTTGGAATCTCCCACCGCTGATTCTGAATGCTGAGTTGAAGCTTCATCTTCCCGGGCCCGCTGATGAGTGGAAAGCAACAAACGCCAATCAATGGCGGCGACTACGTTCACAAAACCAAGCACCCCCAATTGCATTTCCTGAAGCTTTCTCCAAGCTCTTTTTGAAAGCACCCTCAACTACCGGAGCACAGATCTCGCCATTAGGCAATTATGTTTTAATTCATGCCCTCATCCAGCAGATTTTCTTTGCTCGACAACTATCACTGTCCTGGCCGAACACGATGGGCGCGAGCCTGAGGAATGAGGACCTTGCCGTCCTAGAACAAGCACTCAGCACTTGGAAAGCTGGCTGGAAGCGAACACCGGAATCAAGTCTCGATCCGCAGAACCCCAACGGCCCCATCGCCTTCACCTCCACGGCGCTCCTTGGCCTCGCTTACATCCGTCTCCACGTCGACATGGGTCCACTCCGCCACCTCGAATCAAGAGATTCATTACAAATAGCCATAGCCCTTCGCGACTCACCCCGCCTGCAACGTAACCCACGTCTCATAATGGCCCTCCTACACTCCGCCCACGCCCTGTCCATCCCCGTTCGCCTTGGCATCGACTTCGTCTCGAGAACGCAAACCTTCTTCTGGAGTATTCAACATTCCCTCTGCAGCCTCGAATGTGCCTTCCTCCTCAGCAAATGGCTAGCCGTCGTACCCAGCAACAACCAAGCCCCCACATCCTCTAACGAACCCAAACTCTCCGAGCATGAGAAAAAGCTCCTCCTCTGGGTGAGAAGTATGCTCGATGAGACCGAGATGGCTATACCGGGCCACCATCACCCCGGCAGTAGCAATGCAGGACCCAATAACGACCGGCTCCAGGAATCCACGCAGGAGTTCCTCGAGGATCAAATGAAGATCAAGCAGTTGAGCGTTGCGGTGGTGAGGGTCTGGGCAAAGACGTTCAAGGGCAATACCAGCTGGGCCATTGTGGATCTAATCGGGAGTGCGTTGGAGATTTATGCCGATATGCTGGAGAGGGATGGCGTGTGAGGATGTGTAGATACCATGTGGTGAATGCTACTGATAATTAATGTTTCTAATGAGCGATTCGGATAGAGAAATGCTGTACAAGGAAGCTTAGTCCAGTGTCCCGAAAATTACATTGGTGTGCGCGACACATGCCTTGTTCCATCCAGGATAACAATATCTACCTACAGCAACAAGCCTAACTCAAATCATGATGCGAACAAGGCGGGAAGTGGATGCAACAACATCGAAGCGCTCGGAGGAGCGCAGGGAGATTCCCGTCTGGGTCTCAGTCTTGGTTCGTCTAGTGCCCATCGTGCCGACCAACTAACCAGCCAGCCAGCCAGCCAGCCAGCCAGCAAACGAGCGGAAAACTAATTAAATGACACGGAAGAGAAGGAAGAACATTCCTGTCTCCTTCTCTACCGTGAACTACCCGAGTGGAGGAGGAGGAGGAAGGGGGATACGATTTCGTTCGCTTCAATGGAGTTCGAGCACCAAGAGCCCGCTGAAGCAGGTTCTCCGTTCGACTTTCGAACTTCCGAACCTAGTTTGAATATCTTACCGTCTGACAGATATGGTCGCTGGATTCTATTCTACTCGGAATGAGAATTCCTGCCCGCTTATCTGGGCCTTCGATTAGGCTTGGACTAGACTGAGCGATGGGGAGATGCTTTATAGGCGTTCAAGTTGTGGAGGGGTTTGGTATCCTGCACCGAATCTTGACCGCGCCTTGGCACCCAATGAGGTTAGTCGTTTTTGCTGTCTCACTCAGGAATTAGTCACCCGGCTCAACTTCGGCTCAGGCTCCTACTCAGGCCCCACTCCCTTTGCTCCTGCTGCTCATCCTCTTGCTCACCTTCTGTCTTAGCGCTGCTCAGGGGCCTTAGTCTCGCTTCACCCACTCTCAGTCCTGCCTCTGAGCCCTTTGCTATCGTTGGCGAAACATGCCTTGCCGGCATTGGCTGTCCTTTTAAACTTTTATTAAGTCTACATGATGGTCTGGTTAGGCTGCTACACACGCCAGGCTAACCCGCTGCGGGTTAGGTTTTAGGCCGGGTTAGATTGGGCCAGGCTCTGAAATATCTCAACCCAGCCCACTGCAGGCTGGGTTTTGGAAAAGTTAGGCTTAGCCTGTAAACGTATAGGTGCTTAAAGCTTACTAAGAAATTAAGTCTGTTAAGAGTCTGCTAAGGGCTTATTAAAATATATTAAATATCATCTATATAATATGTCTACACCGTCAAGCTCAATCAATTAGCTGCAAAGTACAGTAAGCTTCAAAATAAACGCCGCAAGAATCATCTTTTTGATTAGATAAAGTTCCCCTTTCCTGCCTTCTTGAGTTCAGAGTGGAAAACACGTAGTGCTTTAACCTGCCAAGGCTGCAGAATCTTGCCAAGCTGTACCCCGTCAGAATCAGAATATGTTCTGCGCATTCTATCCCCTCCGTACCCAAGATGTGTCAATTAGCGCCTTGGCATATATTAGGTACCTTTCCGGGCACCTTATGGGTACTGAATTTATGCCAAGGCGCTAATTGACACATCTTGGGTACGGAGGGGATAGAATGCGCAGAAAGAATGCACAGAACTGGCATATAAGATGCAGAGAAAGAGGGCATATAAATGCGCAGAAAGAAGGCACAGAAGTGCGCAGAAAGAGGGCACACAAATACGCAGAAAGAGGGCACACAAATGCGCAGAAGGAGGGCACAGAATTGGCACGCAGAATGCGCACGCAGAATGCGCAGGTACGGGACAGTATGCTGCAAGTAATTCATTAATACGTGTATGCATTAGTGCATATTAATGTCATTCTCCTGTAAGATTCATCTTCGTAGCCTCTAGATGTCCTTTAATAGTAGAAAGTTGTAAAGCGAAGTGATCCGATTCAAAAAACTGACGAGGCGAGCTCATACGTTCTCTCTCATATCTTCGAGACATCAATGGTACGCCTCCTCATCCGGGTCGTTCTCAGCTTCATTGATCTATTGAAAAAGGCTTCCACAATATCACCATCTTTCACTTTATCGATCCTTCTCATGACAATGAACAATCGCACCGTGTCTTAACGAAGAACTACCTGGCAATCTTCTGGTCCCGTGAATACTTCTCCTACCTCGAATCCATCATCTCCGGTATTTGAAGCGCCCTCTCCTGAGTTGAAACTGTTGGTTGATCAGACTTTGAAAATATCCTTGGCCAGCTAAAAAAGCGTGATGTCGAGAGCAAAGTAGAACGAATGTTGTCACATCCTGGCTGATCAATGTGAGAGAGAGGTATTTTGACCTAGGTGTCACTGAGTGAAGGTAGCAAAGCAGACTGATTTCTCCCATATGGAAAGCCGCTGTCAAAGTGCCTGTTAAGTATGATGTTGAACTTCTGAGAGGGCCTATTGGCCAGGTTTTACCTGCGTAATCCCTTGCGTTTCGCCTGTTTTTGATTGGTCAAGTTCTACTGCAATTTCGCTGCTAATTTCGCTGTACGGTACAGTCAAATTGTACTTAGTTATACGCTCTCTACCCCTGCTTCCTTCGCACTCTGCACAGCAAGTTGATATATGACCAGGTGCCACTGCAGCGTGAATCAGGCGCTTGGCGGTGCCTAAAAATCTTTGGCGTGTTTATGGTTTTAGCACCCTGGCAAGATGGCGATTCGCCCAGTCGAAAGCGAAAGCGTTTCCCAAGTCTCCATATACCCGGGAGATTTTGTAGTTATCCGCCCTTGAATGAAAAATGGCGCGGATGACAAAGGAACAAGAAGCAATACGTGAAGAGTCTAAAGCTGAGACAAATCAGGCATCCAGCCGTCGTTCGTTACGAAATGTCTCGGAAAGTGTTTTGGAGCCTGCAGTTGGCATGACTGAGCTGTCTCTGCATTGGGGCTTCGACTCGATTGAAGGCAAACCTTTTTATTGTTTTTTAATTGAAAAGAGCCATCTCAGCCATTTTCCAACTCGGTCTACCTGAAATGAAGGGCGCCTCAATGCCAGGGAGAGCTTCGTGGAAAATCTGAACTTTTGGATGTATTGAGCTATGATGCCGGCGCCGTACCCGACACTCAACCTCATCTTCCTCGCTCTCCCTTTCGGATCTGCATTTGACCGTCGCAGCTGCTTCGAAACAGCAACAGCCTTAGTCAAGAATCAAAGCCTTTCGCCAACTAGCCACTTCTTCTTCCGCGATACCCTCGACAGCCTTGCATACAATGGTCCCGAGAACATGACTCTCACGCTCGAGGGCTGCAACGCCCTCTGCGGTGCCGAACAGACGTGGTACACCGACATCGGCCCGCGCATAACCATCTGGCTCGTCCCGATCCTTCTGCTCCTGGCGAATGTGGAACTTAGCCCGCTCGACAAACGCCGGTTCCTTGCGATATTACACCTGCTGGGGGACCCCATCGACAGCATCTGGTCGCTGCTGCACAAACTCGACGCGTGGGACCGCTGCTCCAGGCTCGCGGCACGCTGCAGTGGCGTATGCCCATCTTGCCAGGGCGTCATCGCCTCGGTATTCGCGGGATTCGAAGAACTGCAAGGGCCCCGGATTACGTCTGAGCGCTACTTCGGCTCCCTCCTCCAACAGCGCAGCCTGGCCAAGCACTTCAACGAGTGGCGACGCGCCGCCGTTCGCCTGGCCGACGGCCGCAGCAACGAGATCGGGCGCACCGTGCTCGCCTTCGTGCTGTATATCGTCCAGCTTATAGCCGCCTTCGTCCCCGAAGTTGGAGGGGCCCCTCCCGGCCCTCCAGGAGGCCGTATCGCTACGGGTGTGCTGCTCTCCTGGCTCGTCCCTGTCATCTTCCTTAGCAATGCCATCGGCGGTCTGCCCTCGCACCGGACCGCGTATGACATCTTGGCTGATCTCGCTGCGAACACGGGAGACAAACCGTTCCACATGCCGCACCGGCGCTCCCTCTTCCTGCCCACCTTTCCTTCCATCGCCCAACAGTGCTACACAGACTACTTCCGCGCACTCGGCTGGTCCGGCGCTATCTACACCTATCGCCCGTGGAAGGTGCGCTACATCAGCTCCACCCACCACCGCCATCTCCATACGCTGCTGCTCATCGCATTCGCCACCGCGCCCGTGCTGATCGGCCTCGTCGGCGGGGTCCTCATCCTCTGGTACCAGCTACCCACAGGCCTCAACTGCCGGCACGTCTGGCTGGTCGGCGTCGCACTCCTCTGGAAGATCTCGGCCTTCATCACCTGGGTATCCCACCGCCCCGGGCTCGCGACAGGGAAATACCACTGGCGCCTCACTCTCATCAAGGACATATGCGTCGCGGGACCGAGTGTTTTTATAATGCTCTTATCCGCGATCGGCCTATTCAATTCCTGCTGGTGCTGGAGCGGGCCGTTCCAGTACCCTAACATCGGACGTGTACCCCTGCCGGAGACAGTGTATCTGCAAAATGCAAAGTCAGTCTACCCGACCATCGTGGGCGTGACGTTGCTGCTGGAGGTAGGGGTGTGCGTGGTGGTGGCAGTAGTGTGGCGGCGCGGTCTGCGGTTGCTTAGGTGGAGGGAGAAAACGCGTCAGGTGGAGTGGGAGCGCGTTATGGATGGCAAGAGATGCAAGTGCATGTACACTGGTGGCAGGAGTCGACAGTCATTTATAATACATTATTAAGAATTACTAGTGGTAACGTTTTCAAATTCGAAATATATATATATATATAAGAGAATTAGATTTTATAGATTTTGTAGCTTAGGGGAGACCTCTAGGGACCCTCCTTTATTTTTTCTACTTTTTTTTATATTTTCTTATATTTAATAGTTAGAAGAATATAAGAATAGAAAGAATAAGAATAAGAGAATAAGAGAATAAGAGAATAAGAGAATAAGAGAATAAGAGAATAAGAGAATAAGAGAATAAGAGAATAAGAGAATAAGAGAATAAGAGAATAAGAGAATAAGAGAATAAGAGAATAAGAGAATAAGAGAATAAGAGAATAAGAGAATAAGAGAATAAGAGAATAAGAGAATAAGAGAATAAGAGAATAAGAGAATAAGAGAATAAGAGAATAAGAGAATAAGAGAATAAGAGAATAAGAGAATAAGAGAATAAGAGAATAAGAGAATAAGAGAATAAGAGAATAAGAGAATAAGAGAATAAGAGAATAAGAGAATAAGAGAATAAGAGAATAAGAGAATAAGAGAATAAGAGAATAAGAGAATAAGAGAATAAGAGAATAAGAGAATAAGAGAATAAGAGAATAAGAGAATAAGAGAATAAGAGAATAAGAGAATAAGAGAATAAGAGAGACTTGTTCTAGTTTCGAGCCATTGCAAGAATAAGAGGAATAAGAGAATATTCTATATACTCTTTTTGCGCACTTTCTGTGCGTTTTTCTGCGCATTCTATATACTAATTCTATGTCCTCTTTTTGCGTATTCTACGTGCCAATTCTGCGCCCTCTTTCTGCGCATTCTACGTGCGCATTCTACATGGGCATTCTGATTTTGATGGGGTACGACTTGGCAGAAGTTCTGCAGCTTTGGCGCCCTAAAACACTGCTTATTTGCCAACTAAACTCAAGAAGGCAGGAGGAATGCTCGACTTTACACCAATTACAACAGTGATTCTTGTGAGCCGCATTTCTAAGCTTATTACTCTTTCAACCAATTGCACAAGCTTGGCGGTGTAGACACATTAGATAGATGATATCTGGAAATAAGAAAAAGGGCGTAGGAAATGTCCGTGGCACACAGCGTGCATGCCCCGCGAAATGAGGAATTTGGCGCCGTAAAAGTGGTCCATGCACAACATGCATGCAGCTTTTCCGGAGCATACACCGGTGTATACGGAGTCGTGCATCAAAAGTAGTCAAACTACACTAGTACCAAGGTTCTACTAAAGGGGACTAATGTCGACTAGCCTAAGATAATGCTTAGTCGTGCAGGTACTCCGGCCAGAAGAAAGCCTAGAGAAACCCCTAGAACTTAAGTCCTCTCTAGGCTTCTCTTCAAGCGACGAACTCATGCTACAGGGCCCTTAGTGCTAAGGCTCATCTAGGCACGCCTGCATATTTTGGGCTAAAGTGCCTAACTTATACTTAGTACCTGCTAGCTCTCACCCTAATATTAGTGTAGTATGACTACTTTTTGATGCACCACTCTGTACGGAGTTGTGCCCTAAAAGTAGTACAAGTACGCTAATATTAGCGCCCCACTGGCGCTGCTTAGTTTAGACCTAATACACACACTAATTTGTATGGCAGCCTGGTAGGCCCTAAGAGCTACCTATAACAGTTAAGCTCTATACTGATATTGATAGCGAATTCATAGCTGCAGAACCTCCGCCTCCTCCTCCTCCTCCTCCTCCTCTTTCTTAATAAGGGTAATAAGTACAAAGAGGGCGCTCAGGGCTTCAAACGCAGCAAGACAGGTACTAGAGTCAAGGGCAAGCTCTCAAAACTGCAATTTATCAATAGAAAAACTTAACACCAAGCGATTGAGCGTAAGAATAGCGACGATAAGGAGTATTCTAGTATTAAGAGCAAGGAGGAGTAATCCTGTTCTAAATCCTATACAAATTAGTAAAAGCGCCAGAGCAGCTAGTCTAGAGTAGTCTCTGACGCTAATATCAGCGTATTTGCACTATTTTTGGGGCACGACTCCGTACACCCTCAAATCTGAGAACTGCCATAAATTTTGGCGCCAAGCTTCGGACTGAAGGACCCGCCGTCCCACCCACTACGAACACAGCCATCTAAAATCCACCAAACTCAAAGACAAAATCATAACACCCTCCAAACCTAAGGTCACGCTGGAAATACCGCGGCTGCTGGGCCATATTGAAGGAACCCTAGATCTAACTTGGGACCTGCCAAAACCATCCTGTCGGTCTGGACGTGCCCTTGCTAGCTAAGATATTTTTTTAGCCTTTCAACCCTTCATTCATTTAAGCAAAAAACTCCCAACCATACAATTATATACATAGGCCGTCACAGTGCCTCTTTTATTACTGCCAACGAAACGGGAAGAAGCTGTTGCGCCCAACTCGCAAATCTACGAATAACATTCAAGTCTCAAAGATGGAAATCGCAGAACGATTAAAGACGGTTCTACGAAAGTCCCAGGACCTGCTCAACATTCGCAATGCTCAGAGAGCTGTCACGTCGCCACCGTCCTATGACGCTGTTCTGCTTCAGAAACATTGCGAACGTCTTTTGCAACCCACAGGTACCCCTTTGCACGGTGTGGCTGGATATCTGAGGGAGTTCGATCCTTTGATAATTCCGCCAACCCCGGAGGCATCAGAGAAAGCCGTCCAGAAGCATCTTACCGCCCTATCTCGGGTGAACGATGCTTCTACACTGGAATATGCGCGACGCTCCTGCGGCGGCACTCGTCGAAAGGGTACGCCAGTTTCTACTCATGTGTGTGGTGCGGGATTGTGGTGTCGATAACATTATGACTTTGTCAGCCTATGACCGACATTTCGCTCATCTTCTAACGGTCTACGAATGGTCATGGCTGCATCAAATCGTATATGGTTGGGAAGGCACCTCTCCTGAAATCCATCGACTTGCTTACGAGACATTTTACTCATTCATCGCACTCCCTCTTCGACGACTTAAAGTTCCATTATCGGCATTTCTCTGGCATGCAAGAGTGAGTAGAAGCATCTCCAGACTGTCTCAAGGATCGTCTTTGTCCGAAAGATCGCCTGAATTTCTCTTTTCTACTCTTGAAGATATGAGCAGTTATAGTGAAACGGACAGATTGGAAGAGCTGTTGCGAATGAACGACATGATACTTGACTCTGTGGTCGACAACCTACACTTGCACCCAAAGATGTTCAAAGCTTGTAAGAAGGCGATAGCAGCCGAACTCCGAACGTCCATCCCTTCAGGATTCCGCAGCAATAAATTCCACTATCTCATGACCGACCATTCTGCGTGGCGTCGGTTTGAGAAGATCAGTCGTGACAGAACGTCCGATTTCGAGCCTCTGCGTCCGCGCACAGAAATGCATGGAGATGCAAATGACTGCACCAGAATAGCGAGCGGTCCGAGAGTCGAACGTTTGCTGCCAGATTCTCTTGCGATTCGACAAGAGCTAGAGGACAATCCATGGAGCTGACTTTTTTGCTATCATCAAGATCCGCCTGCGGGTCACGTTTGACAGGGCGCTAGGCAAGTGACAGCGGCCAGAGTATGGGTTCACCGTTCCACGACGGGGTGGAATCAATCTACTGAAAGACACGGGCATTAGTAGAACAATTTCGGCGTGAGATCATTAGATCTACGACAATGGCAAGGGGAAAGTCAATCAAGGATCCAACCAATGGGGGGGTATCGACTGTTGTGGCTCGACGCTAAGCGAGGAAGGATGACAATGGATGCTCAGGGATGCCTAAGGCTGCTTATTCATCGCTCAGGTTACAGTCACGTGTGCTCAGGTCTCAAAGTGGAAATGGAATTGGGAGAGGTCAAGATTCGGGTGTGGATGTTGTGGTATCGGATGGTGCCGAGGGAGAGGCGGGAGGGGCGGGTATGGATGGTGATGCATAATGCATGGTGGGACGAGTAAAGGGAGAGAGCGGGGAAGGAGGTTTGTGTGGAATATGTGAGCTGGGAGAATCGCGGCTCGTGCTGCTGCGTGTTCAGTTAGGGCAAATGGAGGAAGAAATGAAGCGCTGGTGATGGACTTGGTTTTGGAGACTTGGATAGAACTAATACTAATACCGGTTGAACTTAGATAAGAAGATCTTGACTGAGGAAGCTGTTCGTGTGGTCGAAGTCATTGCTTTGGTGATGGGTTCGATGGCAGAGGACTGAGTCTTGCATGAGCTTTCTCCTTTTTTTGCACCTTACACCACCATTGCGGCCGCCCTCTACACCGCCATCGTGCTTGATAAAATGCCATGTCCTTAGAGCATAACGGTTTGTAGCCTGAAGACGGATCGTTCTCTCATGGGAGATGCACAATATCATGGACTGCAGGTGACGTGCCAAGTCGCCAACTTCTTCAGCAGTAGGGCATACTATCTATAGAAAAGCCAAACACGAGACGGTCATAGAGTACGGGCATGGTAAAGTGGTTGGCTCGATGCTTTTCTGCGGTATATAGGGTTTTCTACCTCACTTGGTCGTACGATAGAGTAAGATGAAGCGCATCGTCCTTGTCCAGCCATATTTGGAACGAGCTGGATGTCGGGAGGTGAGGAAAATCATCATGAGGCATGAAGCCAGCGGGATGAGTGCTTTGCTTGCTAGTAACTGAACAAAGCGAGTTCCGGGACATTCTGAAAGGTCAGATGCAGAACAGATTTTGCTGCTGGTCTGGGAGTACAAAGCCGGAGGCGTAGCGTCTTTTGTTGGTGATGAAGGTCTCTGTTGGTAAGCCATGAAGATCACGCCTTAATACCTGGCTTTCCACGAGCCCATATTCCATCTCTCCACGGCTACCTTGCCATAGCTTTCTCACTTTCTTTGTTTCCGGTTGTTGAGAGATCATCCATCAGAGACCTTTCGTTTCAGTGACAGCTTAGATCTGTCCTTCTGAACCATTAGAGTCCGGCATATCATAACGCATTTTCAGCCTTAGTCCACGAAGAGTTTCGAGAGGCAGCACAGCTCGCAATGGTAGAAATCATCGTCCTGTCTGAGGATGAGGCTGATGAAGTGCCGAAAAATATGACCGGAAGCACAGAGAATTCGAAGAAGGTTCCAGATAATCCCGGTGCTTCAGATAATACTGAACATGATCACAAGAGACCTTACAAGCTTGTTCTGGTCGACTCACGCCGATGCCCCCGCATGCCACGGCCAAGATACTTACCTATAACATTGCCTCATGAGGTCTCACCCAGGGCTGTGGACGAAGTTTGCGGTCAGCCCATTGGCTCTTTGGACTGCAGAGGTGTACACATGCCTGCGGAAGCCTTGAGATCTCCAAGGGAGATAGAGGATGAGGAAGAAGACCCAGACTATGAGGATGTGCGACCATCAAAAAGACGCAGGACTGGGGAGAAAAAGGTGCCGAAGAAGCATGGAAGATTGACAGCTCCAGATTGGGAAGTCGTCAGGAATGGATGTGGTGGCAGACACTCTGAGAAGGGAGCCACACTTCCGGCGAAGGCTGTGATCGATCGAAAAGAAGCCCGAGGTTATGTGAAGAGGATGACGGCGAATGTTGACTGGGAAGATATACTGAGACACCTGGAAACGCTGAATTTCACTGCTGCGACTCCAAATGCAGGCCATATGAACCGGCAAAGAGTCGACGTCAAAACCAAACCTGGTCCAAGCAAAGCAAATCGACTGAAGCAATATTGGCAAAATGTCTTGATGAAAAGCATCTTGAAGATGGATGTTAACGCCATAAAACAATGATGGAGATGCTGCGTTTGGGGTCTCATTGCAGGAAGTATATGCAGGCGTTTTCTCAACCCAGAAACGTGCCACCTTCATCATCTCCACCGCCATCGTCAAAGTCGTCCTCTTCTCCCGCATCGAAGTAGTTTTCGGCGTTGTAGTCATCACCTGCACCATCGTCAGATTCTTCAAAAGCAGAATCTTCTACCACTTCTTCTCCATCCTGATCGTCCTCGTTGGGCTGTTCGGCATCTTGACCATATTCATCCTCAGCTTCAAGACCTTTCCGTTGACCAGCACTATTTGGCACATCATTGCCCAGTTTCTGAGCTCTTTTCCGGCGATCTGAAGCAAGGATAACGTCGTCATCGTCGTCTGAGGATGTACCAACATGTCTTCGTTTACCGGGTACATTCTGTGTCGGCATCACCTCGGCTTTCCGCTTGCCTTTGGCATTGGTGTTGGCACCTGGTGGATCAGGAAGCAGAGGTCCAAGAGTGGTCCATGCCGGGTTCTGTCTTTTTGGATCTAATGTAGACCATAGCTCTTTCGGAAAGAACTTCAATACTAGAATAAGTCAGCCAATTCGAGGTTTCTTGTAGGATGAAATGATTCTCTACCATAAGGACGAGTGCTGAGATCAGGTAAAAGTCTTTTGGGCTTCTGGTAACGTTTGCTGTAAGAAGGCATGCCATCGAATGGGTCAAAGCCGGATCGTTTGTTGATCTTGCCGTGATCATCTGCCAGCTGACTAGGATCGAGCACTGTATAGAGTGGACCATCTCGAATGAGACTCCGCAGGTACCGATAATGATTCACTCGATCAAGCTCTGATTTTGACAAGGCCTTAGGTAGACATTGTGGTACTTTCTGTCACCATATAAGTTTGGCTGCCAGAGACATGCCATGTTGATCTTGAGTTTACCGGAAATAATGGTTCTGGTTTGGTCGTAAAACTCTCCAGGGGCTCCACATCCCAGGTCGTTTCTGGTCCCCAATTTCTTTTCCCTCGACCTCTGCCGGCTCCACCACCTCGGGCTCGACCGCCTCGTGACATGAACAAATCGCGAAATATCACATCGAATCTACAAGTGGTGACGTTGAAGGAGATACATGCGCTATCTTTTGAAAGTCGTGAAGGTTCGTGTTTTTAAAAAAGGATAGCGGAATAACCTGTACTGTGCGTTCCATAAATGTTGCAAAAGCTTGGCGCCTACTTTGGAGCTGCTGCTGCTCTGGCTGTTCATATCAAGTTCTTTATTATAATATGAAGTACAATGCTATAGAATCTATGTCATTTGGTAGTTATAAGTCTATAGATCTTGTTTTGACCTTGTTTTTTCAGTTTAATAGGTTCCATTAGATTTAACGAAATCAATAGAAAGATGTTTGTATATAAGAAGAGTATATAATATCTAAAGATTTCTGATAAGATTAAATGAAAGAGATAAATTTTAACATCAATTTGATATAGGCTGTATCTAGTAGATTATTTAGTCCTTATGAGCTGTTTCTGTTTGACAGAGCAGCGCCAGCAATTCTTAATGCAACGCCAAGCTTTTGCAATACTTATGGAACGCACAGTATCTATTTCAAGAGCGCTTGCTTGCATCTCAATCGACCTAGAAGATGGACAAGTAAACATCTACAATCAAATAACCTTGACTAGGAGCTCTATTGCCTGATATTAACCCCACTGTCTTGGGGCACGTCTATCTCTTGACTATTCTGCTATCATTGGCCTGGGTTGCTCGCTGTTCAACCATTTCGATCAGAAGATTCGGGGTTTCAAGCGATGTGTTAGCCAAGGGAAATTTTACAGACTTCGCAGCATACAGCATCTCAATCTTGTGGCTTCTAGCTAGTATAATCCGCAATTTTAGCCTTGAGAGCTGCTCTGGGAATGCCTTGTAAGGCGAGAATCTCTGACAGTAGGCGTGTCATCCAACACACTCAACAACCTTGTCTCTTCCTTGGAATGTATAGCTCTTCCAAATATTTGGTTTCCTCTTCAATTAGCTTGATCTTGCGTGCCTCAACAGGCTCATCCATTCTTTCCTTCTTCGGGAGGCCGACGATAGAACAAAAATTCTTCTTGCTGAGACACCAGGCGATGGCAAACTGAGCCATACTCTTGTCCAGCTTCTTAGCCATCTCCTCAACTCTGTTAACGATCTCCTTATCTACCTGTCCTCACAAGACAGAACCAGGACTTTTAGATAGTTCCCCGTCTTTTCCCGGGGTGACTCACGACTCTGGTAAGGTCGTGTCAAGGCACCTAGAGCGGCTAGAGACCATGGCACAAGACCAACCACAGGGTAGTTGCAGTACTGAATCATTTCGTTCTCCTCTTCTCCGTGATCAAGATGCCGAGGATGCCTTTTGTGACCTACTCGGGAAGGTCGGCGGGAAGTGGTGGAAAAGCATAAAACACTCTCGGGATGTCTTCTTCATGGAGTGGAACTGTGAACCGACAAAAGAGGAGTTGAAACACATATTTCTGGGTTGGCCGGAAGAAAGGAAAGAACTAGAAGGTGATGCTGCTCAGATTGACGTCTCTGGTGGAATTTTGGTGCTGGAATATGATGATGAGGGTGACATGCCTGAAGACATAGGGAGACTTCGGATGGCGGTCAACATGCAGGAAAGATTCAATGCCACATACTATCCTAACCCAGCGCGGTATACTCCTCTCGCAGATCTTTACCGTGGAAGACACATCAAGGGAAGCTCGGAACAGTCACTCATTTCACCAGAAATGGCATAACATGTGGAGCCGGGGGTAATGAAAACTGCAGACTGAGGCCCATACTGATAACTATCATGCCCAGGGCGATTACGATTTCTGATTCAACTAAGCAGCCTGGTAAGGTTTCAACTGAAAGCTTCTCTTTCTGCTACATTACTTAGCATTGTGGTTTCATGTGGTTAGGATCTACGGCTGAGAAAGCACGTCTAGTGGCTCAGACCCTTTGATGGGGCAAATACTGAGTTGTCAGGCGGGCCATCCGCGCAGCATATGCAAGCATTGTACTCCGTACTCCGTACGACATGCAACATGCAGAGTGCGGCTGCGGATACACGTTGTAATCATTAACTCTGGTCCCGGTAGTCACAGTTCAATGGTTGTACACCCCTGCAAGAGTAGTAAAAGTGAGAATCGAGGTAGTCACGGTACATTACGTAAAACATAGCAACTATGGGTCACCCGCAACAGAGTTTATCTAAGGTAAAGCGCGATATGGTTGACAAGTAAGAGAGCCTTCTGGCCGGGTCTTTTGTGCTTAGCCAGTGGCTGCACCTGCGAGTTATTCAGGGGCTCTCACTAAGCATGCATCCTCGTACTTAACTCATCAGGCTACTACTACGGCTACAAGCCTAAATTTTGTACCCCCACCCTGGTCCAAATATCTTCCAAACGTGTTTTTAACATATGCACCCTGTCAGGATCCCTGCCGCTATTTTGCATGAATTTTGCTCATCCTGCAAATTCTGCTCATTCTACTCCGTACGCATTCTGCTAATTCTGCATAGATACTCATCAGCCTGATGATAGGACAAGCTATAAGCGGCTGTTAATGCTTCATAGGATACTGTGTCTTCTGACTACCCTGCTTCAGTGGATGCAGACGAGATATCAAGCGGTTATAGATGCTAATAGAGTGTAGAAACTTGATTTTAGCGACTAGTCTTATTTGGGCCATTTTTTGGACGTCTATACTCAATTCCACATAGTACGTTTCGTGCGGATACTAATGTTTTCAGCCGGTTGGGGGTACAAAAACTAGGCCTGTAGCCGTAGTACGAACTTGACCTAGGGCCGGGCGCAGACAATGACGACGGGAGATCAGCAAGGTACATTAGCGAGTCATTAACATTTCCAACCTTTCATTGAGTATTTCAATTGAAGCTGCAGTACTATGCGTAGCAAATGAGAGTAGTCCATGTGAAGTTGACGTAGTATTTGATTGCTCTGTAGGAAACTCAATAATTGCAGTCATGATAACATTCCAGAAGGGAGGCGCTGTTCATGCTGGGTAGCTAGTAGCATGTTAATTTACGCCACTGTTGACGCCCCCAAAATGCTTACTCTATTTCTCTTTGGGCATGGTAAGTAACAAGTCGGTGTGAGGCGCACGCCCACTGTTTGGCTGGGACCATCACGAGGTGGAAGAGAGATAGTAGATTGGCTTCGGTGCCAACTCGATCCCACAATCTGCCCATTGACTAACCAGTCGTACCAGCTCAGCCTGGCTTGCCTTCTCCATGGGCCACCCACTACTATGTACTATTACACAAATCATGATCATTCCTAACCTAGGCTATCCATCAACCAGTGACCACGGCCGTCGAACCCACCAACCATCACTTAGCTTAGCATTAGTCGAAGGCTGCGTGATGGCCGGACGCCTAGTCCCCGTGTTCTACTCCCTGTACACTACCTTCTGTTCGTCTCCGGTCACGGTCCACGAAACCTTCTGCAGGTCGGGGTTTCAATCGACGTTGAACTACCCCGTCTTCGCCATCTTTCCATTAGCCACGCGCTCCTTCCTGAACACTCAAATCTTTCCAACTGGGTTGGAACTGATCACGTCCTCGGCAACGAGAGCCTCACCTTTCCGGGTCGACCTACAAGACACGAGAGGATTTGCAGTCCGGAAGACAGAAACATTGGGCCAATCCCAGCCGGTTCTGGATTCTGGCTGCATGGCCTCAACTCGATCCTGAAGTCTGAGTCTCGCCTTTGATAGCACTTCAGGATACAGTAATTGTCTCTTGGTCACCATTCCCGGCGTGAAACTACATCCGTCATGAAATCAAAGGTCACACTCGCCATCGACCCGAAAGTGAGTACACATGTCTCATTGGATTCTTACCCACACTCCATCTCACGCTCACTGTCTTCATGTTGAATGACTGACGACGTGCAGAAAGCTCGCATGGAGAAGAAATATGTTGGTGACCCGGACTCACCCAACTTTCTGCCTCCTTCACCTTTGATCGATCGACGAGTGCTTTCAGCACAAATAGAAGGCGAACTGAAAAGAGTCTGTGCCACTGTGCTGGCCAATGAACAATCTGCGGACGATGATCTTGCAGTTATATCACGTTATCTCTCCAGCCATCCTCAAAAAGACAAAAAGCCTACAAAACACGACAAGCACTCCTCGTTCGTATTTCAGCCACCTAAAACCCACGTTTCTGAACTAGCCGCTGCATCCTTTCTTCAAACTACCAGCAAGCTACCCACAAAGACCCAGACGCAGCACAAACAGGACCGGCAAGAATCAGCTGCTGTTGCTATAGCCTCCGAGCCATTAGAACCAGCAAACACCCAGGTGTCAAGACAGAAGCCCAGCTTCTCCAATACAGAAAATGAAGCTTTATATGAGATCCGGAGAAAATTGGAATCAAGACCAAAAACCTCTGCGGCAGCATGCATTGATTATCCTGAATTGACATCACCCGATCAGTCAAATCCTACTACCTCGGTGCCCTCCAATCGAACGACATATTCTACGCCATTCACTTCCGCTGGCGTCACACCCGGTCAGACAAGTAAACGATTCTCCCAAAGCGTTCCGAATGCCATCGGTAATATCGAAATTGAACCAGTAGAGACTACAGCACTCCCAAAATGCCCTGACGATGCCATTTCCCTCGCTCCAGAGCAAACGGCTCAAGCTCGAGCCTGGATGGCCGAGCAGCTTACAAGACGTCGCCGTTCCTCCTCACAAACACCACAAGACATCTCAGCCACCCGACCCCTGCACGAATTCCATCCTCTGCAATCACGACATAACCCAGAGAATTCTCGCCCTGCCAGCCGCGCTGCCAGCATACGAACCAACATCTCCAACAACATCCGCGAATATATCAGACCCGGCTCCTCCGCCGGTAGCATCCGCTCAAACCACAGTATAAGCTCCAATCATTCCCGTACCCACCAACGAATCTCTGCCCTCAAAGCCAAGATCAGCAGTGCCTCGCTTCGCTCCCGATCCAGCAGCCGCCGACGACCGGGCTACGACGACGGAGACGAATATTTCATCAACCCGGAGCAGGTAAATCTTGATCGTCCGTTGCCGCCCCTACCCGGGCTGGACTCATACAGGGAGAAGCCGAAACATATCGGATTGATGATGAAGAGCATGATCACGCCTTCTGCGTTGAAGAGAGACACGGCGAATGTGGTCATAGATACGAACGGGGTCGAGCGCGTCATGACTGCCGAAGAAGAAAAGCGACGAAAGGACGACTTGGCCAGAGCTGTCCTGGAGAAGATGAGTACGGGCAGTATTGGCAGTGTGCCTGCTTCTCCCACGGGCGTGATCAGTATGTACAGAGAGGGCGTCAAACTCAGTCTTGATGACGAGCTCAGCAGACCCGTTACATCTGGGAGTGGCAGCGGGGTTGGTGCCGTGCCGCTCTATAACAGGGGTCATCGTGCTGCAAGGCAGATGCAACCCGAGAAGGCTGCGCCACCGGCACATCCGAGCAATCCTAGGCCGGTGGGTGGCTTTGTCAAGAGGTGGGGAGGTCGACTGGGTTGGGGCAGGAAGACCAAGATTGTTGCGATTGAGTGATCTATCTGGCTGCCCACTTACCTTTGGATGGGTTTCGAACAACTACCTTCTTGCATATGCTTTCTCCCTCAGGATATCATTTGCTGCATTCCTTTTCCTTCTCTCTTCGTATTTTCGAGCAAGGTGTTGGAAGGTCCCGTTTTGTTATTCTGCTTTATCTTTGGTCTAAGATTTCTGGACCGGAAAGCTACATCCATGTAACTCCTGGGGCTCGGCCTTGAAGGTCTTGGGCCACGCATTCTTTTTCACTTCTTGTCTATCTATCTATATGAGTGGATGAGTAAAGACGTTTTATGTTATGTGCCCCAGATGGAATGAAATCCCCTTTTTTTCTTGGAACCGAATGGGAAATTGAATGAATAGATGGATGTTGGAAGAAAAAAAAAAGGCTGAGGTGGCTGTATACATATCTTCTTGATGGCTGGCTGGCTGGCTAGGAAGGGGAGGATGAAAGAATACACCCAGCTGCGAGACGCAAGGGGGGGGAAGTATCAGGATGAATTGGCTGTATTCATTCTTCTGCTTGTGGTAAACATTGATTGGGCCGGTTCTGGTTGAGGTTGACTTGGTGCATACATACCAGTTTGGTGTAGCAAGTAGAGTACATTGGAATGGTGCGAGATGAGGATGGGAGATTTGATTTGGGTGCATGCAGAGTTCAACCGTGCAGCAATAAATGGATGTTCATTCATTCATACATCCATATTACTTCGTACGGACTTTTTTTCCACCCATTCTTTGATCCATGCCAAGTTAGATATTGTTTTTATTTTCGATCTGCCGAAACGACCTTTTCATACATGTGCTGTGTATGTCTCGATCGCGTTCCCGTTCATTGTTGCGGATTGATGTTGCGGGGGACAGAAAAGGCGGGCTGGCGTAGAAGAGTGCCGTATCTTATTAAAGGTCATCGAGAAGGAGGAAGGGGGGGAGCTTGCTTTGAGTCCCCTCACGGGTCTAATTTAGAGTTGATATAATGAGAGCGGAAGCCAGATCTAATCCGCGAGCTCGCTTGCTGTACTATGCGGCGTGACTTCGTGTGTATCCGTCATCCCATCTAGTCGTCCGCAGCCATCCATTTCTTCTGGCACCATCTTTGATTACAGCCTCCGTCATGTCATGAGCGAATCGTCGCCTGCTCCTCCTCCCCCACCTCCACCTCCATACCCTGGGAAACCCATTCCCATACCCATAGCACCACCACCACCACCACCTATCTTCTTGCCTTTACTCTGCCTCGCGGCCTCTACTATTGCGAACTTTCGACCCAGCTCGCTGAGACCTTGCACATCCTGGCCCAGGAGCGCGAGCAAGCTGGAGAGGTTGACGTCGTTGGTTTGCGCTTGTTGGGCGTGGGTCAATGGGTCGATCTGCGGTTGGGTGGGAACGGGCGTCACGGGCACGCTAGTGGTGCTGAGGGTTGAAGCTGGCGTGTCGGAATGGGGTGATAAGAGGGAGAGACGGGTAATTAGAGCTTTGATGTTTCGAAGGTGGGGGAGGTTTGCTGGGTTGAGGGTGGTTTCGGATTCGGGATCGGAGACGTTGATGGGAGGGAGGGAATTGATGTAGGTTGAAAGAAGGGAGAGACGGGACTGGAGCATCCGCACACTGTTGAGCCGAGTGGTTAGGCTTGCTATCTGGTCGTCTTCTTCGGGGCTGAGGATGTTTGTAACGGTGATATCATCGAATGCTTTTCTTGCCTCTGGGGACTCATCGGCTCGTCGTTTGCCTTTCCTATCTTCTCTTTCTTTTGCTTCTGGGGAAGCTGGGGCTTCAGTGTCCGCGGAGGCTACTGCTACTGCGTTACCGCCTCCTTTTGCAACGTAGTCAACGGCTATCATTTCGGTTTCGTCGGTTTCGATTGTGTATGGAATGGACCTGAACCTAAGGCCAGACGTGTCTTCGCCATCAATCTGCATGGAATCATCTTGCTTGGTAGGTTCACCCTCATAAATTGTTTCATAGATTGTCAGAGGAAGCTTGCCGTTGCTGCTAGATGGTGTGCTAGATGAGATGGCTGAAGGATGAAATGCGAGGAGTAGAGACGATTCGTTCTGCGCCAGGAATTGTTTGTGAATTGGTAGAAATGCTGAGGTCGGTCCACTTTCCGGACACAGCGTGAACCAGCCGGCAATATCGAGCGCTGGTACTTTGTGCACATCCTTGTCTGTGGTCATCAGTCTCAATCGCTTCCGAGGCATTTTGCAGCTCACATTGCTGTAATCGATGTTCAAACCACTCAGTATCTAGAATAGTCTGATTCTGTTTATCTTTTTGTACACTGCAGTTGAAAGCATGCTCCAGCGTGATCTCTCGACCCTTCTGCTGACCCAATAGCGCGCCAACAATACTACCGGAATAACCTCGCACTTGATGTCTCGTAATGTGGTCGGAAATGGTCAGGAGGACTAGCGGGTGCAGGGAAACGGTTAGATTGGAGTCGCTGCGGCGGTCGGACACCAGAGGGTTATGGGAATCTGTTTCCTCTGTCATTTTGGGCTTTCAGGGATATCGAGATGTAGGGTGAGAAGGATGACGCATATGGACTATTGCGAGGTTGAGTTCGAGGCAACAGTTTCAATTGCACGTATTAAATGTCCAGAGCTTGTTTGCAGTGTTTGACTAATCTTGGCATTCACTGGCCTTCAAGTCGGCTAAGCTTGTCCAGCCTTGGCGTCAACTCTCAAGTTATCACAACCATCCACATGAACTATATGAAATGATAGTACTAGTGCACCAAGGAATCGGTCACTCAGAAGTCACTGATTCTATCTCGATCATGTCCGTCATCCTCCGAGCGTGCTGACAAGGTTTGTCTGAGTGGTATAAGCACCGCCTACATCAAGTCTTATCCTCTCCTGAATACCTCCAGCGATGTTCTGCCACAGTTGTTTTGGTACCTCATTCTTGCCCACACCCTTCTTCATCAGGTCTGACATCAGCACGAGTACATCATACTTCTCTCTTCCAATTCGCCATGCCAACCTTGCAGCTTCAGCATCTCCACCAACGGTCTTGACTGGCATGAGAAGTGATTGTACGGCTGATTCACCGGCATTCAAGACTTCTGCCATGCCAGTGCCTGACACGTTGCCCCCGCAGAGCTCGCTTATACCCTGTTCTGTTAGCAAAGACAGCGGTCCAGAACTGTTTGGAGTATGATCGGGCAGTCGTGCCCAGTCAGCGGTCACGATGCTTCTAACTAAGGCAATCGCGGCTGATGCAGCTCGTGGCATTGCGAGGACGTTCATGGCAGCTGCAACGTTGCTCCAGAACTCGGGATGCTTATCATGATACTGGTAGAACAGTACGCGGGCTGAGGCTGCTTGGGAACCTCTGCTAAAGGGCTCTGATCCTGCTACCAAACCCTCTTCGATTACAGAAGTGTTCGCACTCGGCCCGTGGAAAACCTTGCCCAGTATTTCCAAAGCGTCTGCATTCGCCGGATTTGTGGGCAAAAGCAGCACCGGATTCTCGGTAGATCTTGAGGCTCCTACCAGGGCACTGACTGGTAAGTGTGCCAGCACGTTAAGATCTTGGACTGGCGCCAAACCATGGGCCCAGCGAGCTCCGCTGATATGTAGGTTCTGTTCCAAGAGTTTTATGATCCTTCTTGGAAGATCTGGTTCTTGCATGAAGTGCTCAGGATACAGGTCTGTATATGCGCAAAGATATCGGATTTGTGCACCTGCCAGGAACTGAAGTTCAAACTTGTCAAGTTCTTCGCTCCGTAGATAGTAGTCGAGGGCTCTCTGATGTAGGCCTGACGCGACCAGAAATTCCAAAGAGGGTGAGGATGTTGTAGGGATGGAAGATATACCAGAGCAGCCAGCTGGACTTTTGAGCTGTAGCAATGTGGTAAGGAAGTTGACGAGTATGTTTGTCATTAGAGGATCTGTCCGATCCACCATGGTGAGGGTGGCATATCTCAGAAGGCTTCGTTCGCGTGCATTGCCTCTGGATTGAGAGCTGGACGAGGTCTGTATGTAAGGTCTCGTTGAGTCGTGAATTGCATCCCAGCGCATTTTGGCGATCCCAGAGATGAAATCAAGTAGCCGGGCTTGCGCTGTGGTGATGTCTGATCTCGAAAGATCGTGGCTAGGGTCCTGGTCCGAGGTGAACTGGAAGAACAGACCATATATACTTTCATCATGAAAGATCCTTCGCCAAAGAAGACCTTGTCCACTAGTCTGCCCTACCGCGCCATTATTGGAGACTGTGGTGACCTCCTCTGGGTTGTCTACTGATAGAAGAAGGAGAATTGTCTCAAGTGCTTTTGTGCCGCCGATATCTGTGGATTTCGAGGTGAGGAATACCTTGATCAAGCCTCTTACCAGAGCGTCGTCATTGGCCACAGATGCAGCGCCACTGGGTGACTGTGCAGCCGTCTTCAGATAAGAGAGACTCAACCCCTGGACGGCCGGGACAGACGATGAGAGACCCTCCGTAACTACCTCCACGGGTATCGACGTTCGCAAGTCATCGAAGGAGACAAATTCAATAGCGTCTGAGAGGAACCTCACGAGAGGTTCAAGATCATCCTGTGACGTCCTAAGTAGTGGGAGAGTTAGCTTGGCAAGTTCTACAATGTGACTTGGCTTCACGTCGGTGTCTCGAAGGAGGAAGCGAGATTGCTCCACAAGGGGGGTGTTCAAGCGCTCGTCATTAGAGGCGTTCTGGAGTCCTTTCAAATGACCTAAAAGCTCGTCCAGGGGACCAGCTTCTGTCATGATGCAGGCCTTGTGGACTGACGTGTAGGCAGAAGCGTTGGGAAGGTTTTCGTCCAGCTCCGGACAGAATGGGTCGGATTGTTGTAGTAGTAGTATTTTCTGCTCAATCGCCGGTTTTCCCACTCCAAAGAGGACGATTGGATGATATCAAAGGGAGAGGCTGGCTGCCAAGACTCAGATTCCGCCACCCCTGAACCGAGGCCAGAGCGCCAGAGGGCCCTTCTAAACACCTGCAAAAAGTATCTACTTGGATCACTTCGAGGATTATCACACGAAGCACAGAATGAAGAACCGATTACTACAGTGACTTGGCTGATTTTCCTAGCCAGAGACGGAACGGGTGTCCTTGGGATTTCAAAATGTGAAGCCCGCGATCGAGGAGTATACGAGGAGAAAAGGCGAAACATGCTGGCTTTTAGTGCTGCAAGAAATAACATTCTACCAAAGACGTCCATCAACTGATGGCTTTTATATCCCTACGTTGCTTGCCACATTGGATTCACTTCGGATCAAAGGACGAGTCGGTTGGAATACATATGAGCTTGATAAAGAGACAATGTCAGCTAATCCTAATGGATTAGCGGACCTATTTAGTCATCTGCGTACAACAACTCAAGTCGGCGCCGGGTTCAGTGAATCAGACGGATTTGAGAGACCGACTCAACAACCTCCAGAACCAGTCTCGTGATAATATCCCCGCCGCGCAGGCAACGTACGATAAGCGAGTCTCTAGCTACGATGCCATCAATGGGTATGGCACCTCGACCTAGGATATGACTTCATCATAAATAGATTGAGCCTTCCAGAGGGGACGGGATCTTAGACTTCGCTCGTAATACCGGGCCTTGTCACGTACCCTGCGGCGAGAGCAGTCGGCCTTGTGGGCATCTGATCGGAGTCGACATCTCAGGTATGCTACAGCGCGCCAAAAATAGCGCGCCATGTCGGAAATCAGTACCGCTTTGAGTGGATTGAGCATGATTCAGCAACCTTGACTATGTCGAAGCAATACAGCGTATCCGGCGGGGAGGTGGTCTCGACCTCATCATGTACTGCTCTGCCTTGGTCCTGCCTGCGCATCCAGCTGAAGCAATCAAGCAGTAGGCGAAGCTGCTTAATCACGGCGGTAAGATAATTACTGACGTGTCAGCTGAAGACAGAAGAGTACGCTGTCTTTGGTTCAACGATTGGAGGCAACCAGTCGGTTTTTGGCTCTCGTTCTGCCCAAATTGGTACAAGGACATTCTTTTTTTTAGGTGGAGAAACTGTATATTCGGGCAGGCTTGGACGTTGAGACGTCATGGCGTACGCGTAGTCACTTGCCCGAGACATGGTATAATAAGAATGATGCAATCGATGTGCTTGAGGAATGGGTATGCACTTTATGTTACGATTGGAGTGGATCCATTCTAGAAGTGAAGAAATATTAAATTGATGATCACTGCCAGCGTTAGTATTGTGGCGCCGATTCGAAAGACGGACACCGACCGGTCTTTCAGCTGAGGAAGCGCTTGAATTTCTGATAAATGCTACAAGTCTCTCCAGAATCTTTACAACGTGACTGCTCATACTCAATTGTGGAAACAATCCATCAAATCTCTAGGACTCAAAGATAAAGGTTAGCAACCGTTCTCTTCAGCTATAACATCTGCGACGAGCAATCCAATTGGAAGCTAGCTTGACCACCCATCCATGGCAACGTCTCTTTCTTCATCACCATCTTCATGTGCATCTCGTTCTTCCTCACCGTCTGCTCCCACCCCATCCGGTAAGTGCCCCTTACCCTCCCCAGGCATTTCCGTATCCATCTCTACTGCCGCGAAACTCAAATGCTTCCAATCCTCAATCTCTTCGATAATACTCCTTAGCCGATCCCGGATACTTTCGACTGCGTAGCTGCCCAGCAGTAGCCTCAGTGGCGGAAAGGAGCAGTGACCGAGCTGCCAGATCAGCTCAGCAGATCGAATGGCGGAAGCAGGCTGCTTGTCACCAATCCACTGAAGCATACGTTTGAAGTGGCCAGCAGGGGAAGTGATGCTGGCGTATGGAGCGCTAGCCGGCTTGATGTGGAAGTGCTGGAAGGGCCGAGGAGGATTCTCCCTCAAGCTCCCGCTCCCGCTTTCCGTTCCTGTGGGATGAGCAGGTAGATGCGCGCGCGAAGTCCCGTCTTTTCGTATCTCCACTACTTCTCGCCCTTCATCCCGCCTCATATGGCCTCCCACCACCAAAGTAGCCTTGATGCCAAAAGCATCCACCTCATACAGCATACTCTCAATCAGGCCCTCCACCGCATATTTCGTAGCACAATAGGGGCCAAGCCCGGGCACGCCTAGTGCTCCACTTATACTGCTGAAGATCACGTACCTACCGCCATGTTGCTCGCGGAAGTAGGGCAGTGACATCTGGATGATATTTAACGTACCCATGAAGTTTGTCTCGAATTGGTTCCGGACGTCGGACTCAGACTGGTCCTCACAAGCGCCAATGATGCCATGTCCAGAGCAATTTACAACAATATCTATGGCCCCGAAGTGGGATAGGGCAGATTGGAGGGCCGAAGAGACAGTCGTACGGACGCGTACATCGCACAGGAGAGGTAGATAATTTAGATGGTGTGGAGTCGGCTCTTCAGTTGTTGAATCTGAAGGTGAGACAACATGGAGGGAGCGCATCGACTCAACCGTGTCTGTCGAGTGGGACTGGCCAATTGCGCACACGGGATCATTGTGTATAAGAGCAGCCCGAACGAGAGATCGGCCCATATGCCCTGTTGCGCCAAAGATCTGCAGAGGTAGTTAGCGTCCAATCGAGATACCCCCAATGTGGGTGTAAAGCGTACCAGCCATACGAGCTGCCTGGGAGGATTCTGTGGTCCTGGAGGATCTGTCGAGACCGGCAGACGCAACTTTGGATCGTTTGCTGCGGACCGGGGCGATAACACCTCGCCGCCATCCTTCCCAACACCATCCTCCTTCATTCTGCCCCTAAGAGGCTCACATCGTCCCAGGACCAACTAAGGTGACGCGCGGGATGGCGCAATGGGGAGGCGTGGGGAGATGTGGGGAGACTTCGAATCCACCATGGCTTCCAGCCGGCAGATCTTCGGGGTAGGGACTCCTCTTTGCCCCCGCCTGGGACGTGCAATGTTGCTCTTATGGCGTCAATAGCAACTCCTATCGTCTTCAGTCACAGCATCCAGCATTGAATCAAATTCTCTAAAGAACCGCCGTTCTTGTTCCGTCGTTTCTTTGATCCGGAGCGGACACCAGCACCAGCCGAGAGATGAAGGCGTATTGGTTCGACAACCAGCCTGTAAGAGATCCTATGCGCCCCCTGGTCGCCACTTTCACTGAAAACGTCTCTTCAGGGTGACCAGCGTGATGATCACGACTCTGGGAAACTCATCGATAGCGACTATCTGCGCGATCTCGGTATACTGTATTATCGCTGTCCGACGATAGACGAGGTCGACGCAATTGCCAAAGAGCGCAGCTACAAGAACAGAGATGAAATTACAGTCTCGCCGGAGAAGATGGGTGATGTCTACGAAGACAAGGTGAAAATGTTCTTTAACGAGCATCTCCATGAAGATGAGGAGATTCGATATATCCTCGATGGCAATGGGTTCTTTGACGTGAGAAACGAAGGGGACGATTGGGTACGCATCAGGTTGGAAAAGGATGACTTGATTGTTCTGCCTGCTGGGATATATCATCGTTTTACAACCGACACGAAAAATGTCAGCAGTCCGTCTAATTTGATCACCAGTGGCTGATCTGTTGCAGTATATAAAAGCCATGAGGCTGTTCAAGGAAGACCCGCAATGGACACCTCTGAACCGAGGGCCAGAAGTGGATGAAAACCCCTATCGCCAAAGCTACTTGTCAACAAGAAAGGCTTCCGCAGCATCTGCACAGTAGGGAGTAGAGCGGGCTTACAAAACGTCTCTGCTTTCAGCGTGGCCTCCCATTTCGGGGCTTTCCTCCTCGAGAAATGCCTTTTTCCAGCGACGTATTCTCGTTATAAATATAATCGCATTTTGTGTTCCTGCTTAGCTAAGCTTCTTCGGTGATGCTTGATTTGTCGTGTCTGCCACAGCATGTGCTGCGCCGCTCTGCTGGATATATGAAGGCTGGCCGCCTGGTTACGCTACCTGCACCGTAGATAGGATGGTTCAATGCTTGGTGCCATTATGAGCCTAACTTTCGGCTGACCAGGGTATTGACAACTTTTAACGTCGTATGTTGAGTAGAAACGCGCTCACTTAGAGACTACGTTGTAGTCCTTAATTGTCTCATCTAGGTTGGCATTGAGCCTGGCATGCGTATGTCATCATCGGCTCGGAACACGGTCTCTGTACCTCTACCAGCTCTGAGCCTGAATCCGTCTCGGAACGGGTCTTCGGCCACAGACTGTTGATTCTTCCTCTGCTTAAAGGACAACCGTCTGTGCATTGGTTCGTCCTTCCCGTCCTCGCTGCCTGCTTTGCCATCGTCACCGTCGCGAAGCCTTGTCTTTCCCATCCTTGGCCACAGCCCTGGTAATCCAACAACCTGTACTCGGGGCTCTACCACCCTTTCTTCAAACCATGCTTGCACTCTTGCCTCAACAAGCTGGGCTATTTTCGGCACATCTTGCAATCTCGATCGTGATCCGACCAGGCTGCGGATTGAAAGGTCGAGGCGGTAATCTGGCAGGAAAGAGAAAGCTAGATTCGTCTTGGGCGATGAGCCACCGCTGTTGGTCTGGTCTGGGTCAATACCTTCCAAGGTCTCTTCCGCTGGTGGTGTCGCGGGGACGAAACTTATGGACAAAGTACCGGAGAATCGAACGACAGATACAGCGAGAGCCACGGGAAGGATGGCAGAGAAGGGCTTGGGATAATTGAGAAGCAGCGAGGTCTCAATTGCAAGCGTCAGATTGTCATCAGATAGATCTACATCCATCAAGGCTTGAAGTCGGCCACCCGCTTGTGCAGTCGCATTTTCATCCTCCACTTCGATGACGCGACAATTGCTGAATATAGGGAATTCCTCACCAAGTGAGATCTCTGTGACATTGATGTGATCGATGAAGGACGGGCGCTTGTTGGGATTGTTCAGCGCAGCCACTAGGCTCGAGAGGATCGAAGGGGTTGAAGACGATGTGTCTTTCATATTGTAGGCAGTCTGGCGGTATTGCGCAATCACCTGAGCAATAAGCACATTGAACCAATCGAGAGACTCGGGCTGGTGGGAAGAGTGGTGTGTCTGCGTCCTGCCATGGCTTTTGCCTTTGATCTTCGTGGGTGGAAGCGTCTGATAATAGGTCTTCCTGAGAATAGATGCAGTATCTGTCCCATTGATTGGAACTTGCCGGAGGATGTTATTGACGCTAGCCTTTTGGCCGAGAGAGCGAGGAGGGGAGCTCTTATTTGAGGCATGGCTGTGAAGGGATGATGTCCGAATGTGCTTTGGCGCATGGTAGCCCGAAGTATTGCGGGATTGTGGTGGAGGTGCTTCACCAAAGATGAAGAACTTGATGAAAGCACCAAGGAGGAGAACCACCGACAATTGGCCAATCAAGAGACCTTGTGTGAAGGATAGACTGTTGTAGAATTTAGCACGAGTAGTCGAGGTCTGGCCGGTGATTGTATTTACGAAGACTGAATCGGGGGGGTTGATTGGGTGTCTCCTTGCTGTCAGCGCTGCTGTTCATTGTAGATCTCTCAGAGTCTCTCACGTGTGTTGCTGTTCATGATATCGAAGTCATCATCAGTAAAGCATGATCTTCGGCTCGGTATTGACAGACTCTACGTAGTCGATGTGGACCATGCAGTCCAAAAATAAAATGCATCCCCACATTTCCAAGCTTTTTGAGCAGAGGTGGGATGAACTGTCCTCCCCTCCCGCAACATGACTGAGAGAGGCAACAATCTTCTTAGGCCACCTGGCCTTTAATATCCTGCCTACTTCTGTTCGGTCTTGCTGGTTCATCGTGACTCCCTTTCGCTCGCATTATGATATTCTTCAAAACGGAGCCATGATGCGTCTCCACCATCTGCAAACCTTGTCCCCCACCATCATGCTCATCTTGACCCTACTCATCTCCCTCAGCTGCGCTGCACGTGTCACGAATCCCTCGAAAGTTCCTAAGAACGCGGTCCTTCTCTCACAAATCGCAAGTCTGACTCTTCGATCGGGAAGGTCTACTACATCACGCCGCGTTCCCCCAGCTCCCCAACTGCAATGTACCGGACCTGCGAGCGTTTGCTCCCTCTATAAGGTCGATACTATGCGATGCAAGAATGAGGGCGCAGACTACGATGAGAACAATATTCAGTGGGCCTGCTCAGCGTCGTTGCCCGAAGAATTCAAATTAGGAAGCACGGACGTGACTTGCGAGGGCTACGAGAGTAGCGACGACCCATATGTTTTGAAAGGCAGCTGTGGTGTTGAGTACCGGCTTTTGCTTACGGAGAAGGGAGAGATGAAATACGGAATTACGAATGAAGATGATTTTTGGAGCTCCTTCCGAATCAAGAGTAAATGGGAGAAGCTGGGGACATTCATCTTCTGGCTGATTTTTGGGGGTGTAGTAGGCGCAATGATTCTGTCCGCTTTTGGCTGTCTCGGTAGCGGACGGGGTGTAGTAGGAGCTAGAGGAAACAGACCTGGCTGGGGAGGTGGTGGCGGAGGTGGAGGTGGAGGTGGCTTCGACGACGAACCCCCACCACCTTACTCCGATTATCGACCATCGCCGAAGCCGTCTACGAGATCGTCATCTTCCAGATATGGACAGACAGGTGGGAGTGGGCCGTGGAGACCCGGCTTCTGGACAGGAGCAGGTGCCGGCGCTGCAGCAGGATATGCCCTTGGTAACAGAGGTCGAAATCCGAACGGTGGCGGCTTATTTGGTGGTGGACCTACTGCTACAAATACGGGAGGACTGTTTGGTGGGCGAAGGGATAACGCAGGGGAAGGAAGCTCACGGTCAAGTTCAGGTCCTTCATTCTCCTCTGCCCGACATGAAAGCACGGGCTTTGGGTCTACCAGCCGCCGGTAACCTTTCTAGCACCTGGATAGGGTGGGTATCAACACTATATGTACAATTCAGCCAGAGATGTCATGATCACACCAATGCTTCGAATCCATTGAGGAACATCGTAACGCCGAGCTTGATCTCAGCACTTGATGTCAAGCATATTCCGATTCTATCACACCATCATCATGGGGCCACATCTTCAATGCTACCCACGATTTCCTCCGTTCCTTCAGCCGGCAAACCTTTACCCTTCTTGCTCTTTTTCTTCCTCGCTGAGGGGGTCTTCTTGCTCTTCTTCTTCCGCGTAATTGCGTTATCTACAATGCTTTGCGCCTCGGCCACGAGACGGTTCTTTCTTGCTTGTGGTTCGCCATCCGGATGTTCACCTTCGCTACTCGCACCTTCATCAGCTTGTTCGATCGACTCTTGGATGTCCTGATCATGCTGTGCGTCTTCAGCCCGCATTTTCGCGTCTTCAGCTTCAAGTCTTGCCTTCTCCTCTTCAAGTTCTTTGTAGAAATCCTGGGGATCTGCATAGGTGGTATCTGTTATTTCTGAGAAGGCTTGTAGGTCGACCGGTTCCTTCGAGTTCAATGCCGCGAAAACCTTCTCGGGATTGAGTTTCTCCTCTTTGTTGAACTTTTTCTTGATGACAGCCCTCGAAGTGTCAGGAAACATCTTGCTGATCATCATGAAATCTGTACCAAACATTCGAAGCCCCTGGTAGAATTGCTCTGTCTGCTCATCGTCCCAGGTGCTGTAAGTTCTCACCGTCCCAGGTTTTCGGCCCACGGTCGATTGGTTGACCCGCTTCGTCAAACGATCCTCATCAATCGCCTCTTCAACTCCTTCGGCGTCTCTAGCAGTTTCTGCATTTCGGTCAATCATCCTTGATGATTCGTCGATGACCATCTGGCCGTTAACAAGGACGAGTCGTTCTGCAACATGCGGACCAGGTGCAGGTAGCGGACCGCCGTTCTTTCTGGCCTCTTTCTGCCTCTGCTCTTCCTTGAGAGCCTCTTTCTCTGCCTCACGCCGCTTCCTCTTCACTTCCAACCAATCAATCTTTTGCATTTCAGCCTCTCGTCTCGAAGTTTTCCCCAAACCTTGGTCTTTGACAAGGTCTGCCATCATGACCTCAGAGGGTACAATCTCATGACTTTCTGCCTCCTCCGATCCCAGTTTGCGCTTGCGCTTCCTTCCCCTGACCGCTCGTTCATCTCCATTAACTCCACCAGTGGCTTCATCGATGACCTCTTCTGCAGCTTCTTGGGCTGATAGCCTTTGCTTCCTCTTCCAAGTAGATCTTCGCTTACTGGTTGTAGAATTACCGGGCTGCGCCGAGGGGTTCTCAAGGGTTTGTGACCGATCTGGCACTCCATCGTGAACTGCAAAAGGCGCCTGCCTCTCTGAGCGAAGTTTACTCTGTCGAGGTACTTTTGCCTTGGAACTACCTGTGTTGACCTGGTCAAGAGCTTGGTCTCGTGTAGCTCCAGCGGTCTCCACTATGGCAGGTTTAGTTGCAACGACAGGTTGCACTACTTGACCTGGTTTGCGACGTCCTCTTGATGCATTTGAAATGATATCTGGGCTAACGGTTGTTTGGTTGTTTGAACTTGGTATGGTATCAGCCACAGCCTCCGTCCTACTGGCTTCCTGGAAAGATTTCGTGGCCGCTCGCGTCTGTCTTGACGTTTGCGCTGGCTCACTTATCGCGACTGCCCCGACAGATGCTTGGATAAGAGCCGATGGCTCCGTATCAGCCAAAGATGGTACCTCTTGTGGTGCAGTCGATATAACCGTCGGTGCTCTTGTTGAACGTAAGGAAGTTGAAGCCGGAAGAGGATTGACAGTTTGTGGAAAGTCGCTCTCTGAGGTTGCGGTGTTGGCTGAACCGTCATGTAGCCGGGTGGCAGAATTCCAGCTATGTCTGTTGTCGACTGGTTCTTGTTGACTATGTACAATTGAAGCTGCGTTACCCTGGACATGTTGTGGATCAGGCGTCCCAGGAAAGGACTGGCTCTGTGAGATAGTATCGTCATCTCGAGATCCTGCGCTTGGTGTCGTGGCATTCCGTATTGTTCGGCGAGGAGGCGCTTTGGGAGCAACTCTTTTGTTGGAACCCGACTTGTCTATCAAGGTCAGTCAGTGCAGCCGTAGAAGCAGAAGGAGAAAGTTACTGATAGAGCTGCTGAATGCCGGCATATCTTAGGCTTACTTGCTGTTCATCCATGAGGTTCGTCTTTTCAGATAGAATAAAAACTGCTTGTCAGGTTTGTACTATTGTGGGGGCCGCCGTGGGACATTGCAGCCTACATGTGGTGTGGCCCCACTTTTGCAATGGTCGTTTCTTGGCATTCTGAAATCTCTCTTGTCAAAACTTCAACTCCTGTGACATCTTGACCACAGCCACATAACGCTGAACCCCGGCGCATCTTTCCCAGCATGCTTCACTCAGTATATTCGTGATTCACTAATCCTCCGCTACATCACATAGCCATACATGGTTCTGATGCCGACCATCGAAGCAGTCCCCCCTTCCCATGCCCTGAAAATGGATGATCGAAAGCGACCTTCACCCTACGATCAACATGATTCAGGACCGCCCTCTAAGAAATTGGCAACCACAGCAAATGGGGCAGTAAAAAGCCATCCAGATGCTGACATGCCTTGGAAAGACGATATTGAGGTAAGGCTCCGCAGGACCGCCTATCGCATCCTCTTCTTGCTGCTTGTTTGATGAACTCCTGTACCTATAGGTTTAGTATACTAACCATATGTGTACAGAAATTCCAAAAGGGTGCGCTACTCCGTCAGATGCAAGAGTATAGAAGAGAAAAGCAAACTCTGGAAGAACAAGTGAAGCATGCGCAAAGGAAGGCGCTATACCACAACGATCATCTTCGAATCATTGATGTATGGTTCCAAGAGATGATTGACGAGGTGAAGATCATGGCTGGGGAAAATCCAAGCAATATACATGATATCTCGACTTTACCATCATCGCTATATTCTGCCGATGTTGAGTCCTTCAAGACTCATCTAGAAGAAAGGTCGCGTGACATCAAGGATGTTATGGGACGATTATTTGATAGGTGCAAAACATACCATCCTGACGTGGTCACACTGCAAGGTCAATTATCGCAAAAGCTTGCCGCTGAAAAGGTTCATGTCGTGGAGCTGCAACGACTACAATCGGAGGTGCAGGAACTTACTGAACGTCTCGACAAGGCAGTGGAGCGCTACATGAGAGCTGAGAGGAAGATTGAAAGAAGGCTAGGTCGGGCAGCTAATAGTTCGAAAACCGACGAGATTTTCCTTGGGATGCCAAAGAACCAAAATACCGATAACGTCGCAGTGAAGCGTGAAGAAACACTTACCAATGGGACAACTGGTACCGACGAGGCTTTGACAGATTTGGAGGAAGCACATCATAAGGCATTGGCTCTTTCGGAGAAGCAGAAAGAGCAATTAGAGCATCTTGAGGCCGAAAATCTGAAGTTGGCCGCACAGTTGACGGAGCTGGCGGTAAAATCGACACAGCATACCGATGACGAATACGCTGGCACCGAACTGTTCAAACAGCTGAGATCACAACACGAAGATGTGATAAAAAGAGTCAATAACCTCGAAGCCTTGAATATTCAGCTTCAGGAGGAAGCAGTAAAGCTGCAATCAGAGCGCACGGCATTCAAGTCGCAAATTGAGAATGAGTCAAAAGCTGCGCTGGCAGAAAGGGAGGCGCAACTGGCGACGGCAGAAACCAATCTGGCAAGGATCAGAAGTAACCGGGATGAACTCCTCGCTGAACAGGCCATCAGGCGTTCTGCGTACGAGCAGGAACGTGCTTCAGTGCAGAAGGTGAAAGAACTCTGTGAAGCCAGTGATCACCGCATCAAAGCGTTAGAGATCCAGAATGAACGTCTGAAATTAGAGCATGCAAACGAAGAAAAAAATGCTAGCGATTACGACTCGACAGGTCTCCAAGAGCTCAAGTCCCGGCATCAAGATCTCGAAAAGAAACATCAGATGTTGAACAACGAATTGCAGTCAATGGAAACAGCTTATCTTTCGACAAAGAAGCTTGCGAGTCAGAAAGTATCTGAAATCAGCGCATTCGAGGACAAGCTTCAGAGATTGAGCGCCGAGAAGGCCAAAGCTGATCAAAAATATTTCGCCACCATGAAGAGTAAAGAAATAAGGGATTTGGAGATAAGGACCTTGCGCATGCAAAACACAAAGAGCTCGGATGTAGTGTCTTCACTCAAAGAGTCAGAAGCTGCTTCTCGTGCGCTGGTGATTAACCTGGAGAAGAGTATTGGAGAGATCAAAGATGCTTTCACAAGCGCAACTGCAAGCCAGCGAGCTTCGCAGCAACAGGTCACGGAGCTAGGCATTTCGAGTGAAGGGTTGAAGGGGCAGATCGCCGACCTGAAGAAGTTGCTTGCTTCGAAGGATGCAGCTGCAGCTACGTTGTCCAGTTCACACCGAAAAGCCGAGCTCGAAATTGCGGAACTGAAAACATCCTTGACTGACACCAAAAAGGCGCTGGACGTTTGCAAGTCGAACAACCTGGGAAGCTCCACAGATGTGAACGAATCTTTCAGAGTGAGTCAACTCTCCATTTCGTTTATGGTAACCATACTGACTAGATCAGGCTCTCGCGATCTGTACCGTCTGCAAACGCAACTTCAAAGACACCGTGATCAAGACCTGCGGACATGTCTTCTGCAAGGAATGTGTTGACGAGCGCCTGACATCGAGGTCTCGCAAATGTCCGAACTGTAACAAGTCTTTTGGCAGCAACGACCACATGAAAATTACGTTGTGATCGTTATCCTAGTGGCTGCCTGTACGATATGAGGTGGATCGCCCTGCCTTTTGGTTCCTCCCTGTGCTAGCTTTGATGAATAGCAATGTCTGGTGCACTGTTCAGCCGCCTGGTCAGAAAGACATTTCAGCACTCAGCCATGTTCCAACCTTGCTGAAACCAGGTTGGATATGCGTCGCCGCATTCCATGTCTGCTTTGTAGGAAGGGGACAGATAGCGGAGCTTGTAATCCTAGATATTACTTGAGACAGAAAGTGGGAATTCATGTCTCGCCAGTATGCAACCAACAATGCGTTAGAGCTTCGATGTACATAAACGCTCAATTGACCATGACAAATAACATGCTTGCACATTGAATGATGGTGCATGGTGTTGCATATCTCCATTCTCAGCCGCACAGATTTCCCAACTAGGCAACCCCAGATGTCCAGTGTTTCCGGTGTTCACCCAACTAAAAGGTTATATTGTGTTTCTTTCCCAAATGTTTCAACTTGGGCACAGTGGTGCAGTTGTTAAAGCAACCGCCTCGCCACGAAATCGACAGTCCCTCCCCAAGACCACCTGTTCGAACCCAACAACTGTTACGCTGACACATACCCCCCGAAGTCAGATACCAGTCCTCCTCCCATCCTACCTCCCTTCCTCCCTTCGAACAAAAAAAAGCCCTCGGGCTTTCTCCTGACTCCTGACCTGTCTAATGACAGTTCGGGAGTTAAGGTTTTTATGTCTTTTTGGCATCTAGAAATTTGTTCCACGAAGCTTCAAGTTCGGAAAACAGATGCAAATGCATTCGGTCCTTCTTCAGTTGACACCGTGTCATGGTATCATGGTCTTGATGTTTATCAGCTGAACTCCTGGTTGTGCAGTTGTTCAAGAGTTGAAGATCCTGCTGTAGAGCAGCTCGTGTCTTCCAACCCACAAATCCATGCTTGGGACCACCTGGCCAGCATCCTCTGGGTGTACATCCCATACCCTTGCCAAGCAGGCTCGAATCTGCGTCTGCAAATGTTGTCCAGCCAGTATGCTTTGCGCCTGGTAAGGACCCATGACATTTGCGCGAACAGCGGCACTCAGCACCGTCTTGGCATGATTGAAAAGAAAGAGATATGCCATTGGTTTGATCTCCAATCCTAGTGCCAGGCAGACCGCGCCCCACAAGGGTCCGAAATGACCGTTTATATCTGCAATATCCTCGCTGCTCAGCGCTGAGAGCCTGAGCGTCCGCCCAAAGGACTTGATGTGTTCAGCAGCTATCAAGGCACCGGTACACGCATGATTGATCGATTGTTGCAAAGCTTTCTCCCAGACGTTCAAAAGGGCTCTTCCCTGGGCGATACTCGCTCGTCGAGCTACCGTACACGGTGTCGAGGCGTCGAGATCATTATCTAACTGGTCCACCAGGGCGGGGTGCCGGAAGCCGGCGAGCACGTAGGGGACATTGGTGAAGCCAACGGACTCGATGGAGAGGCATAGGAAACTGCCAAAGGACGAGAGAGGGGTGACATGTGACGGCAGGGGTTTGTGGTGCGCGATGTATGACTCCAGACCACTGGAATATGCGAAGGAGCCCAGGGGCAGGGCAGAATCGGACAACAAGAGCAAGGAATGATAAGTGGAGGATAGGAGATCTGGTTTGGAAAGTGACGTGAAGGGAGATGGTCTATGTTGGATACCGTTCAACCTGACTTTCGCATCGCTGAGCTTTGCCTCAAGGTCAGCAATCTCGGCTTCAATGTCTTCTACGTCAGAAATCTTCATTGAATCAATAGTTGCAATCACAGAGTATTGCAGGTTGTGAATTAGAAATTAGCATTGCTGCGGAGACTCCCGAACCGCTACCTAAAATCCGAGGTTTCCCGAGAGCATCACTTTCTTTAACTGACTCGTACAGAACTTGTGAGGGCCGAAGGGACATGTGACCACTCATTGCTTAATTAGCATTAAGAATACTTAGCAGGAGAAGGCCCTCTAAAAACTATGCCTAAATTACCATCAATGTGTGCTTAGTTTCAGCCTAACCGTGATATGATCTAGTTTATATATTATTATACGGCTAAACATCTAGAATCCAATAGAATTATGTTATTTCGGACGTCATTTTAAGAAAATGACGCTCAAATTATGGCTAAATTATGGTCATTTAAGCCTCCTGACGATCCTTAAAATAATAAAATGTCTGCAAAATCACTAAGGACCAATACCGCGTTATTTTCAGAGCCCTTCTCCCGGTAAGTACTCTAATAGATTAAAGTAGTATAATTTATAGATTTCACGTACAATCAACAAAATTCAAAGAGAAGAAAGATGCATACCGGACATACCTCGTTAATGATAGTAAAGACTCAAAAGCAGGACTAGGCAAGGCCCCTCAGTCGCACCAGGACGGAAGATGAGCAAGGAGAGAGAGAGAGCCGCGGCGTTCATGTCACGTGCTTGCTTCGCTTGGCGCCCATAGATTAGCTTCCATTGCAGATTTGCAACTTCATCATCTCCACATACACGAATCAATCAAGCAACTTGTCCAAGCCATTGCAGTTAGAATCTGGCTCCCCAGTAATAAGCCCACGATCAAAGTCAGAGGAGCAGCCAGTGATAAGCCACACTTTGCTCATTGTGGTGGTGGTGATGGTGTACCGGGATTGAGATGGGAAATGAGAGTGACCCGAGTAGCAAAGAGTGAGAAACGGAGTCAGCACAAGAGCGCGAGTTTAGAGCGGACCGGAGTCAATACCAGGACGGAGTTTACTAGCGAATGTGTCTCGGGCATTGACGGAGAGATTTGAAGGATAAAGCGTATTGATCTTGACGCCGCTTTTAGTAGGCTTGGGAGGGCCGAGGCCCATCGACAGACTCATTGGTGGCCGTCTGGGCAAAATCAACAGCCTCATAATGATTGGGCCGTCCTAGGCCGACTCTTGCGGCTAGATAGTCCCATTTCTTGTGACAGATATGCAGGAGCCAAGATGGTCGCTACCTAAGGAGGATGAAAAGTCGAAATTTAGTAGTCTAGGCGGACAATGGCAATGTCTAATTCCTAGACCACCATGTAGCTGTTAAACATCCCGTCTTCTCAGCCAACTTCAAATCTCATGCTAATGAGGGTTTCTGTAGCCTGACATAGTCAAAATATCCTCAGCATAAATAAACCTTGAATGGAAGATACAAATACATTTTTCTATTAGCCTAGCAAGTTTTGAATACTCAGCCTTTGCATACTCCGTATTACTTTCATATAAGATCAAACACACACAAGAGCGCAAGATGTAGCCCGTCTACTGAACAAAAGGACCATGGCCACAGTTGGCCGCTAACAGGTATTACAATGTCTAACACCATCTGTTGCCTGCGCGTGAGATAGGAAGCTAGAGAGAAATGTGCACGCCTTCCATAAGATCACCCACCTTTACGTCTTCCAATCGTTACCTGGTGGTCGGAGACCCCATTTCACGTTCTGCACGACTACTGGCTCAGCCTTTGAGAAATTCCTTCGCCTCGCACAATAGATCTTCTTAGCTCAAAGGTGGAGGGGCCCGTCCCTCTCTGCTCGCCATGCGGCGGCTGATTTGATGGTGGCTCGGTGATAGCCAACGTGACGAACTCGGCGCTCGAAGCCTGTCTCAAGGACACATTCGGAACGGATCGTCATCTCTTCGACGTGCTTTCGACGTCTGGAAGCACAATTGAAGTTATGACAGCATCTGTGTCAGACAATCAACTTTGTATCTTCTCCAGTTATAGCAGCGAAGGCAAACGCCGAATAAGATCAGGTCCATGGTGTTCGAGAGAACGCAGATCTTGTTTATCAACTTCCCATAGGCTATCAGCATCTCCGTTCAGGGTGATCCATCGACAAAGCTTTCATATGGCATTGTAAGTTTGGGGGACCTTTGGTATCTCCTGTGTTGACCGCTACTGACAACGCTCGGTATACTCTCTATTACTCCTAGGTTCGTATAAGGTCTCATTGTGAAGAGGCTGACATTGATATTAGAGTAACCAATCAAAGTTTCTATCTGTCTTTAACGCGTTTCAGAGTGGGAGGATCAAAGCTAATGGACTTTGGATTCAAGCAGCCGGGGCTTAACGCTCAAGGGGTTGAGAGCTCAAAATCCGGGGTAAAGATCGTGTGGTCAAGAGGAGGATAAGGTCCAAATTGGAAATCACGTCTAGAGCCAACAAATTTGCATTAGATGTGCGGTTCGCTCGAGCGTATATGGTCGACCAATTAAACAGTGAAATATCGAATCTCCATTCAATCATGAGGTCAACAAAACATCATGCCACCACAACCTCATTGGCATGTCCGTTGATTCCATTCCTGTGGTCGTTCAAACCGTTTGTATATCCACCCATCAATTTGTCAGCGCTCATTGCTGCTGCTGTTGTGGTCGCAGAGTCAGCTTCTGAGTGCACCTTCGAGTGATTGACGGGTAGGAGCCAGCTCTTGAAATAGTCATCCAACGATGCTACATCGTCAAGCCAGGCGCTTGTTCCAATCCATAGGTCAGGCCGTATGAAGACAGCAGCACCTTTAGCGTGGTCGACTCCATAGCAAGTATGAGCATCTTCATCTGGCGCGCGATCATCATATACTACCGTTGCGATCTGCTTGAGAGGAGCAGATCGTTCAGCGGCAAGCAGGGGCTCAGCTTCATACTCCAAAAGCTTGGTGACAAGAACGATGTTGAATACTCTCGCAGCACCATACCGCTGAAAGAATGATTTCCTAGAATTGAACGCATGGGAGAAGTCGGCCAACTTCCCGCCAATTGGGCCTTGAAGATCGGAAGCAAAGAGCACGATGTGTAAGGTTGCAGCTCCAGTGAGAACATCATAGAGGTAACCAGTCTTGGCTTGACCAAGACACAGTCGTGGGTTGGGAGCTCGGACGCCACTTCGAGGTGCAATTGGCCTGTCGGAGCTTGGAGGGGAGACGATAGTATTCGGGCTAAAAGCTGCGTCCAGACCCAGCAAGAACTTTCCATTGGCGCTGAAGAAGTCTCTGAGGAAATCCATCTCTTTACCAGCAGTGTACTTGACCGCTCCGTCATTTTCGAGTTGCTCCGCATCTTCGATGTTGGATGAATGGACAAAAGATGCAATAGGTAATTCCGAGTTGCAGACAAAACGGAGGTACGATCCGGAGACACGTATGATGCGGTTAGCATGGTGGCGGCGTTCGCGATCGAATGTTGGAACAAGAGCATTCAAGGAAGCAATATTGCGAGCTGCCAGCCCAATCTTCCAGGCGAGATTTGCTGAGTCAAGAATTGATGCATTTAGACCAAAGGCGCCCATTACGGAATGAATGTGTCTGTGGAGAAGTCAGCATTGCATGTACCGAGCAACGAATATCCCCTCATACGCTGCATCACCAGTCAGGTGAACTCGGTAGTCAGGCGAAGAAAAAGATCGGGCAACACGCTCAGATACTGGCATAGGTAGTGAGCAAAGTTCCGCGGGTAATGACATAGGAGCTCACTCTTCCAAACTGCGAACCAGCTAACAGGTGAAGCAAACTTGAGTTTGTACGGCGCGAAGATCCTGTTTGCCTGTTCCAAGACTTCTTCTGCTGTGATTGACGATGATTCCACATTGCCACCTTCTCCCTGAAAGCCTTGGATTTCGCTTGGCGGATTTGTGCAATCGGACCTGTTGAGGAGATATCAAGCTGTGTATAGAGCCTGGTCACGTCAATCATTCTTCTCGGTTTGTCCTGCAAGTATGTCACACCTAACGTAGCCGTCCTCTCGTGGAATGATAACGCATCCTCCATGCTTTGATGAGGTGACACATCTGAAAGAGAGCTGTGAGTTTTCAACACGCGGTGGAGATCATGCCTCGAGTAACTCACCCAAATACCCATGCATGAGGGTAATCGCTCTCAAAAACGGCATCCAAGATGCCCCAATAGATGTCCGTACTAACGCCATCGAATCTATTCTCTTATTAGCATATCAAATGATGGCAGCACCGTCAAGAATGGCAGGGGATGAACACACGGAATCTGGAGCTTCTTTCTCACAAAACTTCCAGCTCCATCGCTGCCGACCAGAAATTTGGCTTTCACTTCCTCCTCTGCTCCAGTTACCTCATTCCTTAATACTGCTTGCACTGGGTAGTCGCTTTGCTCATTTTTCAATACGGTGAAATCTTTTACCACAGTACTTCTCTCTACCAGCTTCTTGTGACGTAGCAAATCCCGAACGTATATCCTTTCAATCTGCCCTTGAGTAATAATATGCAGGCCCCGGTATCGAGAATCAGATTTGTGACTTGGAGCAAACAGAAGTTTCTTTCCGTCTTTATAGATAGCAGTGCGCTCGATGAGTGGACCTTCTTCATGTACCTCTGTGGCTAGGCCCCAGCAATTCAGTGTCTCGAGAAAACGAGGCTGAACCCCATCTGCACGTCCAGCAAGTATAGGGGCAGCCGCTTTGTCTGTACCAAGGATGTAAGCAAATCAGCAAAGCAAAAGCCAACCGTATACAGAACCATAGGGTGAAGCTAAGGTGTAACTGGAGATGACAGTAGACTAGTTGTGACTTCATTCAACCGGTAACGGAGCTAGTGTAAACCTTCCTGTAGAAAGAGTGTTAATTTTCTACAGAA